TTTCGGGTTCTTTGTGGTAGCTTATTTAGTGGTGGTTTGACATTTTTTTTGTTTTTGGTTTATGCCGGGTTCTCCGTGGTGGCCCATTTAATGTTTTTTTTTTTTTTGGTCTATATAGTTTTGAGCCAATGGGGACTTAACCAATTAACTAACTAAATAAGGGGACTTGTAAGCCTATCTGGCTGTTTTTGTTTGAATGTGTCAATTCTCTGCTGACCCAACAAAGGACTGAAACTTAATTTGTAAACTAGCAAATTTGAGCAAAATATGTGTGTTTCTATGTTTGAGACTCAGTTTTGGGGAGCCTATTACTGTCACACTAATATCATGACATTTTTACTATGCTCTGCTTGATTTGAAGTTCCAAAGACAGCGAAGTGCAAAGCAATGAAAATGAACATCCAAATACTTTTATCAGAATGACAGTTGCTACTCTCACACTTATAGGCCCGTTTCATAGGGGCATTCTGATTAGGTCAACCTATCAGATCAGGTCAATCCTATCAGATGTTTTAGCTCCTGCATAAGTGTGACTGTTTATTTACCTCTTAAAAAAACAAAAAATTATTTAAACAGGGCACAGGGAGCTGGGCACTGCCATGGGGATGTGTACTAATGCAAAAACAGTTCAGCAAAGCTAAAGTATGTTCATGCAGCTTAAAGGACAACATTTAAAATACACATTTAAAATGTAACACCTATAGTTATGCTTATAAGCTTACCTGTAGCTAAAAATATAAAAAATGACTTTACTACTGCTTTAAAAAGTCCTTTATAATTATACCTTTGACCTCACCAGTGCCTTTCTCTTGCCAAGGAAAAATCACAATAAGGAAGTGCCAAGGACTACTGCGTCTTTGGGGTGTATTAGTGGTGACCAAATGCTTTCCAGTTCCTCCCTGTAATTAGATTTCTTATTGCATAATTGTTTAATTGAAAAGGCTCCAAATGCTGTATGACTAATAAGGATGTGTGGGGGAAAAAAAGCAGAAGCTGTGGGGGGGGAAGTAAGCTTAATCAGCATGAAGTATGACAAAAAAAACAGCTTTTATTCATCATGACAACAGCACAAATCTAACAAAGACTATCACAATCTTTAATGTGTTTAATGCACCTCCTTACCCTAGATTTTTCTTATTTTTTTTAAGATCATATTTTTTTAAGAATGTTACAATATAATGTACAGTCTTTTGACAAGAGCACATTGTATTCAAGTAGCTTTCTTCTGTACAAGAAGTGCAAAATTACGATCTGTTAGGCCTTGTACTCGGCATATGAATTTATGTTGCCAGAAGCTGTCCGAAAAATATGGCTCTAATCCAACAGTTTTTCACTTGCCTTTAGACGCATTTATACTAGTTTACATGTGTATGGCATTTAGAAGTGTTTGCGTGTCAACTCATTCTATTGGCTAGAATATTTAAGTGGTTCTAAAGGCAGGTGTCTTACCTTATTGCATTCTCTGATATAATTTGCCCACACCCGTGCAAAGAAAACAGTGCTCAAAATATGTAAAAATTAAATAAAGTGACAAAAAAGAAAGCTGCTCATCATCAGATTTACAACTAAGTCCAGCAAAAAAAAAAAACACCTCAAGGTTTGACCGTGCTTTCAGAAACTTTTTCAGAAAAAATTGTGTTCTCAAATATGCTAAAATCAGTGAAAAATTATAAATACAGGAATAAATTATCCATATAATGCAAACGTGGTGCTCAGTGCAAATCACACTCCACACAAAAAGTGGTGAATCTATGACACCATAAATGTGCTCTTCCTCTCCACCAACTAGAAACACACCACACTCATCAGAAACTATTGACCTCTTTAATTTAAAAGGAAATCAAAACACGCTTTGTTTTGTACCAACTGGTAATTTCCCACATATGGATGTTAGCCTCCAATCGGTCTATAATCCATTTCCTTATATGTCTTGTACATGCTGATAAATAAGTGACCAATACACCTTAGTACCGCCCCTTGGCTTTTAAGAGACTTAATGGCATATCCCATTCACATAGAAAGAGAGTTAAGGGAGCCTCTCAAAGGATAAATGCACTTACATACAGTTGCAAGAAAACGTATGTGAACCCCTTGGGATTATGTGGAGTTTTGCATGAATTGGGCATAAAATGTGCTCTGAACGTCATCTAAGTCACAACAATAGAAGAACACAGACTGCTGAACATAATACTACACAAACATTAGATGTTGCCATGGTTTAATTGTACATAACATGTAAACATTCACAGTGCAGGGAGGAAAAAGTATGTGAACCTTTGAACTTAATAAATGGTTGACCCTCCTTTGGCAGCAATAACCTCAACCAAACGTTTCCTGTAGTTGCAGATCAGACCTGCACAATGATCTGGAGTAATTTTGGACCACTCCTCTTCACAAAACTGTTTCAGTGTAGCAATATTCTTGGGATGTCTGGTGTGAATCGCTCTCTTAAGGTCATGCCAAAGCATTTCAATCGGGTTGAGGTCAGGACTCTGACTGGGCCACTCTAGAAGGCGTATTCTGTGCTGTTGCAGCCTGTTAAGGACTGACTGGCGGTAGCCTCTAGCGACCCACAGGCCGGAATCCCTTAGGGCGCAGACTCTAAGCCTCAGTCTGCTGTTTCACCAGAGCCCCTGATGGTGGGGATGGACTTGAAGCAGCCGGAGACCAGGTTGAGACCCCTGAGTTCAACCAGCTGTGGTAGAGCTGGATTTGCCAGTGGTAGGTAACAAGTGAAAGCCAAATGTTCACCTGAACATCCCACCAACTGGTTGTCTATTAGAGTGCAAAAATATCGTCCTCCGAGAGAAAGGTCCCTTTTTCCTTTTCTCTAGTGATTTTTGCTGCCCTTTCTCAAATTCTTTGGGGGCCAGACTAGGTTTAACAGTTCCAATGCCCTAGGAGAGCCCCCTTCAGTGTAGTCCTCAGTCACCCCCAAAACTCAGGCATTTAGTGAATTTATCACACAGGCATCAGATACAAGGATTTAAATGTCCTGTCGCCCACGGCCCACAGCAACTCACCATCTCCCTCCGAGCTGACTATTGCAGGCTGTTCAGACCCTGTTAGCTCTTCAGCTTAAGCTGTAACCGCTGAGCCAGACTTGCTTGGACACTTGAGGGGGAACTCTAATTATTCACGGGGAACTGGGGGGTCTCCAGGTCTTTGTTTCTTGGCACCTGGGGGATCCCTCCAGAGCCCTATCTCCTCTTCATCTGCGGAAGCCACACAGCACTCCCAGACCTTTAAGGCTTGACACCTATCACCTGCCACATGTTACATGGGGGGGAGTGTTCAGTCACCTGTACACTCCCAGCCACCACCTCCTGCTCCCAGCCAGCCAGGGACCCGGGAATCCTTTGCACTGTGTGACCGCTGCTGACCACCAACGGTCCAGTTGCTCCGGAAGCCTGAACTCCACAGGGGGCCTCCAACTCAGCCCGCTACAACGAGGAACACCCGACCACCGTGACGCCACGGCCACCCCAATTCCACATCCACAGGACTCTAGGGCAACGGGTGTTTCTTCATTGACCTGTTACATGGGTGGCGGTTACCAGGAGCGCAGACCGCTTACAACACCATGTTCAGGTTCCTCCCCCTTGACATACTTCATTTTTTAAAATATTTGTTCACACAGGTATGTTGTACCAAAAACTGACACAAGCCTACGAGCAAATTGCTTCAGATTTGGAAATTGTTCAGGCTGCAAAGATTTATAAAATTCGTTCAAATTTCCTTCTTTATATTTGTCTTTCAGCATGTCATCTGATTGTATGTCAATGATTTCCAATTGAAAATGACTTGGGAGTGTTTCAACAATGCAGTCAAATGGATTTTGAAACCGTTTTATTTCATAGGCTTTCGCCTTGAGATCAGAAAAGCACTCCTGGAATTTTTTTTGTAACTCCTGAATGATTTCAGTTGCAAATGAAGAAGTAAAATCTGTTTCACTTTTCTCATTAAATTTTTCACATGGGAAATGAATCAAATTACGAACTTTCACTTGCCCTTCAAATAGCATCCGTTTTGCCCTGAATGACTTGACATGCACAAATAGGTCACAAATCAAATTTGTTTCACCTTGCAATTTCAGATTCAGATGATTCATATGGTCTGTCAAATTTGTAAAAAATGCCAATTTCCAAAGCCAGTCAATTTTTGATAAAAGTGGTTCGGGTCGAACCCAGATGCTGGACCTAGCCCGAGGTAGTGAACTGGACTGTGGCGAGTTTGCAGGAGAGGGCCCGGGAACTAGGCTTCCCTGAAAGAGGCCTATCCAAGGAGGAGCTGGTCACCACAATCGAGGAAGCCAGCCCTCGAGGGGCTGACAGCTTGGATGCCAATCAACTAGAGAGAACACCCTGCATCAGACAACCTAAGCCCCAGGAGCCCCTGGAATGAGGAGGAGATGACAATCCTGGGCCCTGGGGCCACTTTGGACGACAGGCGGGAGGCTATCCAGAGGGCCCACGAGAGGGAAACCCTAAGAGGCATCATAGGACGAGATTCCCTCCCCAGCCCAAGACCCCTTGGGCCTGACCCTCCAAGGGTGACTCGTAAATATTTCAAGCCCTTTAGTAAAGCTGCAGGAGATGAGGAGAGGTTCTTCCAGGACTTCAAACATTTATACCAGCTACTGGAAGTGCCCCGTGTGGACCAGGTGCACCACCTGGTAGCCCTGCTGGAAGGGGGCCCTGCTGCTGCATACCGAACAAGGACTCACAATGGAATCGAGACTATAATAGGGTCAAACGACTGTGTTTTATTACTATGCTGTGACCCCGGAAACCTACAGTGTTCAGTTTTGAGACTTGTCCTGTCTGTGATACTTTTTTTATTTGCACTAACATACAATTTTAAGGACAAGCTTTTAGGGTATGTCCCCTTCTTCAAGGTCCAAGCAGGGGACGGAGGCACGTCAGGCTGGGCAGGGGACGGAGGCACGTCAGGCTGGGCAGCGGACGGAGGCACGTCAGGCTGGGCAGCGGACGGAGGCACATCAGGCTGGGCAGCGGACGGAGGCACGTCAGGCTGGGCAGCTGGCACCGGGCCGTCAGGCGGGGCAGCGGGCACCGGGCCGTCAGGCAGGGCAGCGGGCACCGGGCCGTCAGGCGAGGTAGCGGGCACCGGGCCGTCAGGCGAGGCAGCGGGCACCGAGTCATCTGGCAGAACAGCGGGTACCGAGTCATCTGGCAGAACAGCAGGCACCGGGTCAACTGGCACGACAGCGGGCACCGGGTCAACTGGCACGACAGCGGGCACCGGGTCAACTGGCACGACAGCGGGCACCAAGTCATCTGGCAGAACGGCGGGCACAAGTCATCTGGCAGAACAGCGGGCACCGAGTCACCAAGCTCGACAGCGGGCACCGGGTCAACTGGCAGAACAGCGGGCACCGAGTCATCTGGCAGAACAGTGTGCACCGAGTCACCAAGCTCGACAGCGGGCACCGGGTCAACTGGCATGACAGCGGGCACCGGGTCAACTGGCACGACAGCGGGCACCGAGTCATCTGGCAGAACCGCGGGTACGAGTCATCTGGCAGAACAGCGGGCACCGAGTCACCAAGCTCGACAGCGGGCACTGAGTCATCTGGCAGAACAGCGGGCACTGAGTCATCTGGCAGAACAGCGGGCACCGAGTCATCTGGCACGACAGCGGGCACTGAGTCATCTGGCTCGACAGCGGGCACCGAGTCAACTGGCACGACAGCAGGCACCGAGTCAACTGGCACGACAGCGGGCACCGAGTCATCTGGCACGACAGCGGGCACCGAGTCATCTGGCACGACAGCGGGCACCGAGTCACCAACCTCGACAGCGGGCACCGAGTCATCTGGCTGGATCGGGTCATCTGACTGGATCGGGTCATCTGGCTGGATCGGGTCATCAGGCTGGATCGGGTCATCAGGCTGGGTAACGGGCACCAGGTCATCAAGCTGGATCGGATCATCAGGCTGGATCGGGTCATCAGGCTGGATCGGGTCATCAGGCCAGACCGGGTCATCAGGCTGGGTAGCGTACACTGGGTCATCAGGCATCAGGCTGAACAACGGAAGGCGGGTTCACAGACGGCAGGCTCACCGATTTACCCTGTGCTCTGCCTTCTGACTTACTCATTGCCTACCAGTCTGCTCTTCTGCTGTGTGCCCGGACCTACCCATTGAATACTAGTCTGCCTTCTGCTGTGTGCCCGGACTTATCCATTACCTACCAGTCTACCTTCTGCTGTGCGCCCGGACTTACTCAATGCCTACCAGTCTGTCTTCTGCTGTGTGCCTGGAGTTACTCATTGCCTACCAGTCTGTCTTATGCTGTGTGCCCCAACTTAACCAGTGCCTGCTAGTCTGCCCTTCTGCTGTGTGCCCGGACTTACTCATTGCCTACCTGTCTGTCTTCTGCTGTGTGCCCGGACTTACCCATTACCTACCAGTCTGCCTTCTTGTCAGGGTCCTGTCCACGGCAGAAGTTCTGGAAGATCTGGCATTTTTGCCAGTACTCTGCATGGCGCACGAAGTACACATCAGCCTCAGTTTGATGCCAGACAGCCTTTATAAGGAGGCTCATCACTTCCTCAAGTTGCTGGATGATCTCTAGCTGCCCGTGCCCTGTTCCTGTTTCCTGTGATTCTGACCTGTGATTTTCTGCTACTGACTCGGCTTGCTCCTGGACCTGTCTACTCTGCTTTACCCCTGATCTGACCTTGGCTTGGCTTACGGATACTCTCTCTCTCGCTCCTCTGTGTATGACCTCTGCTATCCCATCTGACTATGTCTGCTCTGATTCCCATTGGTATCTGACCTTGGCTTGAACTGACTACCCAGTAAACATCTAAATCCTGGAAGGGCTTGCATACCACGCACAGGCACCTCCTGTCTGCAGACCTATCTCCGTGCACCAGCTGTGCTTCTGAGTGGACCACCAACCAGCACTCCTACAGGTAACCTGTGCAATTTTGTGCCAGACTCCCGCTGTACCACTCTCAGGGGAGTCCTGAACTTAGCCACAAGGGAAGCCCTCTGTCCATTGGCCTCCATCGCCAGGTACGTGATACTCCTGCTGTGCACCCAGACTTACTCATTGCCTACCAGTCTGCCTTCTGCTTTGCGCCTGGATTTACTCATTGCCTACCAGCCTGTCTTCTGCTGTGTGCCCGGACTTAACCAGTGCCTGCCAGTCTTTCTCCCTGTTGTGTGCTCCTTTTCGGGTGTCCTACCCTGTGGTACAGACTTAACTTTTGTTTGCCAAAACCTTCTCAAAATCTTTAAATAAAAGCCCTGTGTGCTCCACTGCTCTCCACGTGTGTTCTGTCCCACATACACTTCCGTCACAACCGCAAATGTGAAAAAAAAACGCAGCAGACCACTGCTAAACGCTAATACAAAAACACTAAAAAATGCTGAAAAACTCACGTTTTTAACATGACTTTACACAACTAACGTTACCAACATTATTAAAATGCCCAGTGTGTATGGATCCTTACTGTGCTGTGCATGCTTTGCACTGATGCCAATTCTTGTGTGACATTAAATTCACTGTCAACACCACAAATGAACACTAAAAGTTTTGATGTATCACACACATCAGTTGATTCAATCAAGTGCAAGAGAATGCACCTGCATATTCTTTGCCTTTTCTGCAATTTGATGAAGTTTATTGCATCCTATATCCTCAATTCTACGAGCAACAGTATTTGGTGCAAGACTTATCGCTTTGAAAAGATTTGCTTTTTCTGGGCATAACCTTTCCACTGCTTCCATGATACACTCCTTTATGAGATGCCTGTCAGTGAATGGCTTTCCTCTTTCAGCCATTGCTTAAGCTACTTTGTAACTGGCCCTGGTTAAAGCTTCATTTTCACTTTTTCTTTTGTGTAAATAGAGCTTTTTAGGAAAACAAATTGTGTTGCATTGATTGTAATTTTTCTGAACGCTGTGTTCCTGTGAATTTGGAATAACTTTGTTCATGTTTTGTCTCATGGTACCGACGCAAATTGTACTCCTTCAAAACTGCAACAGTTTTGTTGCATATGAGACACAAGGCTTTATCGCCTGTTTGTACAAAAAAAGTACTTTATGCTCCATTGTTCATTAAAAAGGCGGCACTCCCTGTCTACTTTTCCTTTCTTTATTCCTTACATACTTTACTGAAGGAGATATCTGAGCAAGGAAAGGATTTGAGATTTTACCCTTACATCAGAATCCAAATCAGAGTCCAGCATTACAACAAAGTTCCCCTTAAATCACTGTCCCCATCAGAGTCCCTCTTTATATCGGTGTCCTCTTCAAGATGCTCCTTTACATCTGTGTCCCCATCAGAGCATTTCCACACATCTGTGTCCCCATCAGAGACTCCTTGCACATCTGTGTCTTCATCAGAGCCAAAAAAGCATCATCTGTGTCCCCATCACATCATCTGTGTCTCCATCCTTGCACATGCCTGTGTCCACATATTCCTCCATCAGAGAACCCTTGCACATCTGTGTCTCCATCAGAGCTGAAAGCACATCTGTGTCTCCATCAGAGCTTTCCACATATTCGTGTCTCCATCAGAGAACCCTTGCACATCTGTGTCTCCATCAGAGAACCCTTGCACATCTGTGTCTCCATCAGAGCCGAAAGCACATCTGTGTCTCCATCAGAGCTTTCCACACATTCATGTCTCCATCAGAGACTCCTTGCACATCCCTGTCCCCATCAGAGCCGAAAGCACATCCGTGTCCCCATCAGAGCCAAAAGCACATCCGTTTCCCCATAAGAGCTTTCCACACATTTGTGTCCCCATCAGAGTCTCTTTGCATGCCTGTGTCCCTATCAAAGAACCTTTGCACCTTTATTCGGTGGTGGACACACTTAGTGGCGTAATTCAGCCACTTATGGATACGTGTCATTACCCACTTTAACATGGGTGTTTTTGGAAGATTAGGTGTTTTAAAATACCATTTTGGACTATCTTTATTTCCTTTTAGGGAACATGCGTTGTTCCTGAATTTTCATTATATTTACGTTGGGACATTTAAGCACCATCACGCATCCGTTTGTGTGTTTGTCATTTTGGCACATTGATTTGCTTTTTATTATCTGCGTTTCATTTGTATGTGTACACATGCGTTTATTGTGGGTTTTTTTTGGTTTGTGATATATTGGTTCCTATTGGACTTTTTTATTTATATCATCACTTTGACCATATCAGGGTCCTTTTTAGGCACTTATATAGTCTATTTGGACTATTTTTGCACTTTTATAATATTTTTTGAAACTTATTGAGATCATTTCAATTTTCGTTTCAATTTTCAATTAGTGTGGTCACTGGAGTTTCATTCAATTTTATTTTTTGATCACATTTTTCCACGTATTCCTTTCTGATCACAGTTTATGTGTAGGAATCACAGCCCATAGGCTGCACCGAGGCCTTTTATGATCGGCCCACTGGCAGCGATGACACCAATGATGGAGTCCTCCCACTGACACCAACAATGGAGCACTATTCCTCCCCCCACTGACACCAACGATGGGGCACTATTCCCCCCCCCCACTGACACCAACGATGGGGCACTATTCCTCCCCCCCACTGACACCAACGATGGGGCACTATTCCTCTCTCCCACTGACACCAACGATGGGGCACTATTCCTCCCCCCCCACTGACACCAACGATGGGGCACTATTCCCTCCCCCCCCACTGACACCGATGGGGCACTATTCCACCCCCCCCCACTGACACCAACGATGGGGCACTATTCCACCCCCCACTGACACCAGCGATGGAACACTATTCCTTCCCCCACTGACACCAATGATGGGGTACTATCCCTCCCACTGACACCAATATTGGGGCACTATTCCCCCCCCACCACTGACACCAATGACGGGGCACTATTCCCCCCCCACTGACACCAATGACGTACCCTCCCACTGACACCAAAGATGGGGCACTATTCCTCCCCCCCACTGACACCAATGATGGGAGACTATCCCCTTCCCCCACTGACAGGGCACTATTCCCCCCCCTACACTGACACCAAGGATGGGGCACTATTCCTCCCCCCACTGACACCAACGATGGGGCACTATTCCTCCCCCCCCACTAACACCAATGATGGGGCACTATTCCTCCCCCCCACTGACACCAATGATGGGGCACTATTCCTCCCCCCACTGACACCAATGATAGGGCACTATCCCCTTCCCCCACTGACGGGGCACTATTCCCCCCCCCCCCCTACACTGACACCAAGGATGGGGCACTATTCCTCCCCCCACTGAGACCAACAATGGGGCACTATTTCCTCCCCCCACTGACACCAATGATGGGGCACTATTCCTCCCCCCCACTGACACCAATGTTGGGACACTATCCCCCCCCCCCCACTGATGGGGCACTATTCCCCCCTACTGATACCAATGACGTACTATTCCTCCCACTGACACCAATGATGGGGCACAATTCCTCCCACTGACACCAATGATGATGGGGGCACTTTCCCCCCCCCCCTCCCCACACTGACACCAACGATGGGACACTATCCCCTTCCCCCACTGACACCAACGACGGGGCACTATTCCCCCCCATACTGACACCAACGATGGGGCACTAGTCCCCCCCCGACACCAACGATGGGGCACTAGTCCTCCCCCCACCGACACCAACGATGGGGCACTAGTCCTCCCCCCGACACCAACGATGGGGCACTAGTCCTCCCCCCGACACCAACGATGGGGCACTAGTCCTCCCCCCCACCAACCACTATTCCTCCCACTGACACCAACGATGGGGCACTATTCCCCCCCACTGACACCAATGATGGGACACTATCCCCCCCCCCATCCCCCCCACACTGACACCAACGATGGGGCACTATTCCTCCCCCCACTGACACTAATGTTGGGGCACTATTCCTCCCCCACTGACACGAATGTTGGGGTTCCTCCCCCCACTGACACAAATGTTGGGGCACTATTCCTCCCCCACTGACACAAATGTTGGGGCACTATCCTCCCCCCCACTGACACCAATGATGGGACACTATTCCCCCCCCCCCCATCCCCCCCACACTGACACCAACGATGGGGCACTATTCCTCCCCCCCCCACTGACACTAATGTTGGGGCACTATTCCCCCCCCACTGACACCAATGATGGGGTACTATTCCTCCCACTGACACCAATGATGGGGCACTATTCCTCCCACTGACACCAATGATGGGGCACTATTCCTCCCACTGACACCAATGATGGGGCACTATTTCGCTCCATAATGTCTGTGCGTCTTATGGAGTGGCTGGCCCAGTATTCCCGCCGCCGTTGTATGTCCTCAGTCTCTGGTCATCTACTGTACTGTGTCCGCATTTGTTCATAGTTTTTTTTTTTTTTTAACTATAGTCCGGCCCTCCAACGGTCTGAGGGACAGTGAACTGGCCCCGTTTAAAAAGTTTGAGGACCCCTGGTCTACAGTTACTTTGTTTTTGTGTTGTGTCACTTATATGCACAGTTTATATGTTTTATGTATATTTTATGAGTTTGGTTTGGCGTTAGTGCTACATAATTTTTTTCTTCAATTTGCTCTATGGGTATATGATTGGATGTTGGCAGCTGCACTCACTTTAGAGATTTAGTGTTTAGGTAGAAGCGCAGGAGGTTTTTACATTTAGTCAATGTAGCTGGACTATTTGCTTTACGTAAAGCAGCTTAAGTTATTCTTAGTTCTCTTTTGGAGTTTCTATTACTAAATACATATTTCATAAGACATTTTGCCATGCACAAACAAAAATGTTGCTCTCAATTTCTCTCATGTGACCATTGAGGACTTTTTTGCATTTCTTATAAATTTAGATTGAGTGCCTTACAAAGTCTGAAAGCTATCCAAAATTCATCCATACCAAACTGGGTTTATGCCCGGTAAATCCACCTCCATGAATAGGGTCCCTAGCCATACGTTTTAGACAATTCCCTTTATTTCCAGGTATTACTATGGACAACACCACTGACAAACTTGGACTTTATAGAGATGGCATTATCCCTTACATGTCAGACTCTATGGTTTCCTTAGATGCGGCTATGCACATAACTGACCATTTTGGTACCTTCTCCGGTTACAGATAAACTAGCCTTAACCACTTGCCGACCGCAGATAGCCGAATGACAACTTCACCGTGGTTGGCCAGTTCTGCGAAGGCATCATGTGATGTCCCAGAATGCCCTACGGACACAGCTGATCACGTGATGTGGTAAGGCCAATCGCAGCTTATTTTTACCATGTGATCAGCTGTGTCCAATGACACAGCAGATCACCGGTAAATGCAGTTGCTGGTTATCGGCTGCACTTTCCTCACACTGTCACAGCGTGAGGAAAGTACTGCAGATAACCGGCAATTGTCAGGATGGATTGACACCGATCATCAGGGCACTGATGATCAGTGCTGAGCAGTGCCACCACCTGTGTCCAGCAGTGCCACCTATCAGTGCCACCTCATCAACACATCAGTGAAGGAGAAAAAAAAAATTACCCGTTTGCAAAATGTTATAATAGAAACAAAAGAAAAAAACTTTAAAAAAAATGGTTTGCTTTTTTTGTTTATAGCACAAAAAATAAAAACACCCAGCGGCAAGTAAATACCACCAAAAGAAAGACCTATTTGTGTGAAAAAAATGTATAAAAATTCATGTGGATCTAGTGTTGCATGACTGCACAATTATCAAAGTGCGACAGCACTGAAAGCTGAAAATTGGCCTGGGCACGAAGGAGGTATAAGTAGGCAAGTGGTTAATGCCCCCTATGTCCCCAGCTATTAGACTCCACTGTTTCAGTGTCATCACTACAAGTAGTCTCAAATTTTAAATATATAAGACGGTGACACAGCTTTAGAAGCTAAATGTGTCTCCCCTTTTGAAACTTGTACAATAAAAATCAACTATATGGGCTAAACTTCCATTATTTGTAGCAGTCTGAATTAACTTACTTAAGATGGTTCTCCTGCCCAAGTGTTTATATATTCTTAAGCACTCACCCATCACTGTGCCCAAGATGTTTTTCAAAACATTGAATTCCTTGCTTTACCACATTTATCTGGGCTAATTTCAGACGTAAACTGAAAACTATCTACCTTACAGTCTGAAGACTGATGCCGGTATGGCTTCACCAGATATTTACCTGTACTATCTTCCCAGGCAAAACACCTCCAGCTCTGGGTGTGCAATGACACCATTCAGTCCTTTGACTATATATGCAGTCGTTTTGATATAGCCCACAGTGCCTTTTACCACTATCTACAACTAAGGCACACCCTCCAAACTCAATTTGGCTCCCATAACTCCTCAATCTCTACATACCCCTTAATTGGGTTACTCCAAAGTCTGAAATCATGCATCGTCAAAATTTGGATAAAACTAATAAAGTGCATCACCAACTATACACAGTACATACAGCATTTATCAATGGCTAATAAGGTATAATACTCAGCTTCTGCTAAACTAAACAAAAATAAACTACAAATCCCTCTAAATCAAAAGTATACACGAAGGACACAACTTGGTTACAAAGATTTATTTAAGAGTTACAAGTTATGGTACAGGGAAGGTCTGAACAGCTGAAAGCTCTGCTGTACAAGTCTTCAGCTTTAAAAAACTCAAACTGCGGCTTGTGCTTTCTTGGACAGAAGTTTCAAGTCACTGATGCATTTAGCAATACTTTCCTTTTGCTGAAAAAAACAACAGATTTCTTTAGTTAATACCAGATAGATGCCCAAACAAAATAGATCTAATAAAAGGTACTATAAGAGTTTCAGTTTATCTTTACTCAAGATTGGATTAAATACATAAGGCTCAAATCTCTAGGCTATAACAATCATTAATTTAGCAGTCACAGCAGATCATCACAAGATTTAAAACACTTGTCCCACTGCCCACTCCTCTGATCTTTTGTAGAGCAAAAGCCATTTCGCATTCGGGCAATTTTGGATTCCTGGTACCCTGCTAAGCCTTGTAGTTCTTTCCACTGGTCCCCTACATCACTACAGGACAAAAAGGTAGTGACATGGGAAAAAGTGGAAGGAACCACAGTGGTGAATACAGTCATCTGACACTCTCACATATGAAGATTCTTCAGGTTGCCATAACTCTTGAACACAGCAAAAATCAAAGCAAGTGGATGGTGTCACAGGTGACCTATTTATATCTCGTTAGCCAAACAGCAGAGTTGCTTTACAGCATTGCCCTCACAAAACTGGCTTACATTCTATTCTCTGGTTTTTCAGAAATCTTAGTGGGTTGACCATCTTACAATGCTCACCTCTACCATCTTATGCTTTAAGGGAAATGTGTCTTTTTTTTTTTAGGTTATCATTAACAAAACTACATTTGTCATTTCTGCTATTGGCCGATTTATTCAGTAATGCCTTTTCTTCTAGCAATACGGTATTGCAAAAAATGAATTTATTCTTTATATAATCTATAGACAAACCAAAAAAAAAAAAAAAAAAAAAAAAAAAACAAAAAAAAAAAAAACAAAAACTTTTTTTTCTTATTGTGGAAGATAAAAGTAAAGATTGCACTTTCTACCTGAAACATATTTTCAGGGTCATTTATAAAAACAGGATAAATTATAAAGTGTTGCAAAGTTGAAACAAAGCCATTTTCCAACAAAATGGAGGCATTTATACAATTCTGCAGATTATTTTTAAGATGACAAGAATAAAAAATATGGATAAAAATACCAGAGAAATAGCTAAGGGGAGAAGTTAATTAGGGCTGATTAGGATTAACAAGGGGTTAAATAGTAGTAAATCTTCTTTAGACACTTGTTGCTTTAGGCCCAAATCAGCAGGAGATCTGCTCACAGATCCCCTGGCCTGAACAGAATGGGCAAATTAATCATCCATGTACGCTCAGTTTCTGCAGAGCGGACACAGACAAAGCCTGCTCTGCTCTATGGGGGGCTGGCAGTAAACAGACTGCCATCCATTTACAAAGGACTACCCTCCCAATCTATATTAAAACATCCGCCATACTGCTCCACATTTCTGGCTCAAATTAAAATTCCAAGACTGGTGCTCACATAGATTTTAAATATAGAGAGGCAGCCCTCTATTTTGAGGAATACTACCTCTAATGGCCAGTTCACACCTGAATCACACAAGAAAATGGTCCTGTGTGACTCAATACAGGGAATTAATTTGAATGGGCTGAAATTGCACAATAAAAGAGTAGTGCATGCACGACTTTTCAAAAACACACAGCACCAAAATCGCATGGTACTGCAGTACCATGCGATCTGGTGCAAGCTAATGCACAGAGTTTATGATTTGCATTTGGGATGTCATTAGGAACATACTGATACCCACAGAAGATCGAATGCACCATGCTTTTTGAACACAGTACAGGAAACATACATGGAATGTAGCGTAGGTTCCTTGCACTGCATTCTGAGCCTGTTATTGCCACTCCAGCTGCAAACCAAAGAAGGGTAAGCACATGTAACATGCGACACACTGATTAAAAAGGCTTAATATAACTGTCAAAAATAGAAAAAAAAAAATGCATATCAAATAAAACAGACTTGTGCAACTAGGTCTTTGGCAAGTCATTATTTTACCTGTTGTGCAGTAATGCTTTGCACCACATTCTTTTCCACCCAGTTAATCATGTGTTCCTGCTCCCTGTGGCGCAGAAGATGTTGTAGAGCCACCTGGTAGTCTAGACGTTTCTTCACCTCATTGTAGACATTCAATAGTCTCTCCCTGTAGTTTGCTTCCAAAATCACTGCCACATTGTTCTGTGTGTTTCAGAAAAAAAAAAAAAAAAAAAAAAAAAAAAAAATTTAAAACTGAGAGACAGACACACACACACAGAAAAGAAATGCCTCAGTTTAAATTTTTTTTTTTCCATAATACGAAGTGTAATGTCGGTGCCGATTTTTAAATGCAATTGCCGGCTTTTTATTTTCTTCACTACAGCTCACAGAGCTGTCACTTTCCATGGAGTCAAAGGAAGCTTTGTTTCTTTTAAAAAGTACAAGGAAACATTTTTTTTTTTTTTTAACTTGGGGAAATATACTAAAAAGAAAAAAACTCTTTTAGCTGGGGGGGTAGTGACAGCTGAAACTCTGAGCTATAGGAAAGAAAGAAAGATAAAAAAAAAGTAATTACATTTAAAAACCAGACCATAATATATAAAAAAAAAAAAATAAAAAGAACAAAAACACACACACACACACAGTGGGGTCCCCCCTCCCATCCATACCAAGCCCTTCAGGTCTGGTATGGATTTTGAGGGGAACTCCCATGTCAAGATCTGAAAGGAAATACCCCAGGAAACCATCAGTCTTCTCATTAGGAGCATGCCCAGACGTGGTCAGGCATGCATGCAAGCACGTGGGGGCCATACAAACTACTGGAGTATCATTTCAAGTTGCTGCAATTTGAAATTTCAGCAAAATGGACTAGCCTGCTGCACCCTTTTTTTTCACTTTGATTTTCAAGCGGTCTTTGAATTCAGTCCTCTGTAGGTTGACAATTTTCATTTCCAACAAACGATGGGGCATCCTTACATTCCTCACACATTACCCAGTCCGTATCAGTATATGCATGGAAGCGCCATTTCTTTTTCTGGATTGTCATTAAAATAGGATTTCTGTTCATACTGCAAAATCCTTCCCGTGGAGTCCACTGAGGGACAAAGGATTCTTGAACTGGGTATACTGTCTCCTACAGGGGGACTGGATTTTGCAAAAAACAAATGTACACCATCTAGCCATCCATGGGAACATGTGAATAAGCCTAAGTGCCAACCTTACAAACCTGGGAAACCAAAGCCTGGTGGTGAAATGACCAAGAAGTGATCAATGTGAGCTTTGACATTAAGTGGGGGCATGAGCTTGAAACAATAAGCTTGAACTATGGTCTGAGGAATCCATAGAAATGGTGGAGCTAAAAGCCAGAGTACCGGTCCTGGGCCTATACAGGGGGGAAAAAAAAAAAAAAAAAAAAAAAAAAAAAAAAAAAAAAAAAAAAAACTATAAAAACAAGGCATTTATTTTCCTGAAAGAGACCTTGACTGAAAGTTAAACTGCATGAACCACATCTAGACAGTGATGAAATATTGATTTCTGGTCAAATGGCACCAGACAGAGGGATGGTTGCATGATGTCAGACCAAGGGAGCCCAGGACATGGGCTTCAAAACAGCTATATTGTTAAAACCAGCAACCAATCAGCAGGGTATCAGGTCAGTTCCTGAGGAAAAAAAAAAAAAAGTCTGGGCACTCTGGCAGAACCCAAGCATGCCATGCTGTCCTGGACTAATCCAGGGCTTTGAGGACTGCCAAAATGTCCTCCACCTTGATCTGGTGAAGCAGACAAGGAAGCAGCTTCAGGGGATGCAAGTCAGATCAGAATGTAATGAATCTACTTGCCTCCACTAGCAGATCCCAGGAACTGGAAAACGGCCCAGCTTGTTGTTGAACCATGGTGCTAGGTAATCAAGTCCAGCTTTGCCCAACTGAGAAAACTCCTGAAATACTTTCAGACCACCTTTCCCAGGTCCAGATGCTGCCAGCTGAAAAAACCCTCCTGCCAGTTTGCCATGCACAGAATGTACATGTATGGAGCTGGAATGTCTTACTCTGCCCATGTCAAAATGTGTTCAACTTCCTTTTTTGCAATAAGACTTTGTTTCTTCCTTATGACAGACATTGTGGCATTGTCTGACTGGGTCTAATTCAGGTACCCCACCAATAATCTGCTCAGGTTTTAATGGGAAGACTAGATTGTCAGACGTTCTGAGATATTGATTGCAAACCAAGACTAACAACCATGTCTCCAGCACCAACATTTATATCCAGCTGGCCAATCTTTTTCGTTTCTCAGTGTCCAATTGCTCCTATAGGCGGCAGTACAATTCAACTGTCTCTGAATCCCATGTTCCTCAATGAATGCCAAGAAACATTTTATGTGGGGTAAAAAAAAAAACCCAAAAAAAAAAAACCCCAGTATTTCAACAAAAGAAATAGCAGATGTTTTCAGATTTTAAAATCGATTCCAATCAGCTAAGTCATGAACGGTCACCTGCACACTTCACAAAATTATACTTTATTATTGCCCTGCTTCTTAGTATGAGATAAGCAAATTACTTCTAAAATCATACCCTTTTAGCCTCAAAGAGGTGATGCCGGCCCTCGACTCTCCACTGTTCTTCCTTTTCTTCCTTAATTGAATTCTCCAGGAATTTAATTTCAGTATCTTTCACATTCTGAATCTCAGCAATTTTTTCCTGGAAGAGTCAAATTATGGACATATTAAAAAAAAAAAAAAAAAAAAAAAAAAAAAACCAAAACACACACTATCTGGATAATGTGGAAATACAAAAATTACCTAACTAAACACTCAAAGATCTATTCATGTGGATTTACCATGAATAATTTCACTTCAAGTTAAACTCCTACAAAACTGCCACAGTGCAGCAATATCAGTGTGCATTTCACAAACATCCTCATAAACAGGACATATTTTTTGTCAATCACCCAGTAACAAATGCTCCTCCTTGCCATCAAGCTCTTAGCACAATTTTAGATAAAAATAAATAATATACTCCTCATCACAAACTAACCAACGGACTGTAGGCAAACAAAGAAAATAAGAACACCTCATTACGTAGAATCATTTTTTCGTTAGAGGAAGACCGCAGGAAATATGGACACGGTCAAAACTTCACCTTCTTAGAATGCTACTTAATGGGTTGTCATGCTGATCCAGGGTCTGTAATACTGATTCACTCACCAAGAATAAGTATGCAGACTATACGGACTTAATCAACTGATTGCTGCATTCTTTTTTCAGGTCATTGATTCAAAGTATTGCAACAGTAAAACAAAAACGCCACATTTTTTGCTCCTCTCTAATAGGATGCATTGCTGCCTTTGGTCCCTTGCACACTGCAGAGTAAACATCAGTACAGCAATGACAAATAAAGAAGAGTTTAACCACTTGCCGCCCTGCCACTGCATATATACGTGTGCAGGGCGGCACTGGGGCGCAAAAGCAAATTTTAAAACGGGCTCCGTACTCCCAACGTTTTCGCCGGCAGGGGGGCGCGCGCTCTTGCTGACCCGCGGGTGACACCATTTGATCCTGGAGGGATGATCGGTCCCTGTCCTATCCTGTCCTGTGTTGACATTTACACAGGACAGGATATGATGTCATTCTTCTCTGCCTGGACACATTCCGTTCCAGACAGAGAAGAAGACATACAGTGAGTAAAACAGCAAATACCCACAGTTAGAACACTCTAGGACACATTTAACCCCCTGATCCCCCCCCCCCCCGAGTTAACCCCTTCACTGCCCTGTCACCAGTGTCATTGATTACAGTGAACCGATTTTTTACTGATCACTGTATTAGTGTCACTGGTGACTTCCGATAGTGTTAGCGCCCCTCCCAGATAGCGCCAGTTTGCCCACTAATGCACAGGATTTTTTTTTACCAAAAACATGTAGCAGAATACATTTTGGCTTAAATTTATGACTAACTTTGAGTTCACGATATATTTTTTATAGCTGAAAGTAGAAAATATTGTTTTTTTTCAAAATTTTCGTGTTTTTTTTTTTTTTGTTTATAGCGCAAAAAATAAAAAGCGCACAGGTGATAAAATACCATCAAAAGAAAGCTCTATTTGTGTGAAAAAAAAGACGTAAATTTTGTTTGGGTGTAGCATCGCATGACCGCGCAATTATCATTTGAATTAGTGCAGCGCCAAACAGCAAAAAAAGGCCTGGTCATTAAGGGGGGGTAAATCCTCAGGAGCTCAAGTGGTTTAAAAAAAAAAAAAAAAAAAAGGGAAGAAGAAACTTCATTTTACTACAATCATTTACATCCAGACGCCTATACACTCATGTACACGCACATGATACGGGTGTATAGACGTTAAAAAGCTAATTGTTGCGTTCCCTCCAACTTCCTCCTCCCTATTTTCACCACCTCTCTCTGCCTCCTCCAATAGGGTGCTGCTTTCATTATAACAGACAGTTGTTGGGGGCATGGACGCTGACCACCAAAAAAAGGTGAGGGGGCAGGAAGACTCAATGCAAACCAGAACACTTGGGGACCTACAGAGGATTTTACTCGCCTGTACTCATATGCGTCTTTACTCAAGGTCATAGCACAGAGTATTTTATTCAGGATCTTTCTGTAAAACAGATTGAGTACCCATCAGTAAATTAGGATGCCTGTGTGCAAGGGGCCTAAAATACAAAGACAGTCAGGCAAATAGCAATCTTACATGGTGGCAGAAATGGCAGTTCCTGCATTTTCTGTCAGTAAATCTTCACTCAAAGCATGAGAACTTTTCTAGGGGGTAGCCGTAAACATATTAAGACTGGTTTAATTATTTCGCTGGTTAATGTAAACTACAGACACTCAAATGTAACGAAAAAACACAAAAGACAGCTCACTTACTTCGCTAATCTGGTCTATATACTCCGCTAATGTAGGCCCATATTTCTTGACAGCATACACAGTAAGCAGACCAAACGAAATCATGTACACGGTTTCATGATTAATGACATACATTTCTTTAGACAAGAGGTAAACAAGAAGACCAGTTCCAAGCATGTAGGGACCTACAAAAGACATAACAAAAAGACATCAAAAATGTTAATCACACCCAAGATTTCTAAAATTCTCTGGAGATTTCAAAGGACATGTGCACATCATCTATATACAACCTAAGAGAAACATGTTTGAGGGGAAGTTAGTGATCTTAGAGAGTTTTAATAAACTAGCAGATGATAAAACTCCAAAAAAGGTTTACCTAAAACACAAACCTTTTAAAAATACAAACAAATTCTCTTATTTTCTCCCTTCTTGTCAATTATATATCCAATTAAAAGTGTTTTATTGTATCTGTTCGAAAGGTGCAAATAAAACAGCAGTTCATCCAGCCAGAAATCTTGTAAGCCAGCTAACAGTCCAGAGGCAAAAAGTACAGGGAGTTATCAGTAAGCATTGTTCCCTGCCATCTCTGTGGATTACAAAACACCTTCCCTACTATGGAGAAGAAAGGGAGGCGCTCTATCGTCCTAAAACCTTCCCTGTCCTAGTGTGACAATAATGCGCAGTTGAGCTGTCAATCTAGGACAGGAAATGGTGTTAATGACCAGGTTACCTGGGTAAAATAAAAAGGTAAAAGATGAGAAATGATAACTAATGCAGCCACCACATATAAGTACAGGTAAGCTGCAATACTATCATTATTTGGTCTTGGGTTAACATACACTATAAAAGGAGAGAGAATTTAAAAGCATGAATGGGGGGAAAAAAAAAAAAAAACCCACACACTGGATACCGAAGAGAAGACATTATATAAAACAGGACTCCTATAGGGTCTGTGTCAAAGTAATACAGTATCTTCATTACAATTCGTGTAGGGTTACTGTGCCAACACAAGGTTATGTACAAAAATAAAAGAAATGAATGAAAAGCTTTGCAGGAAGAAAATAGAACTGCCAAAAATCCTGACCTGTGACTCCTGTCTTTGGATACAGGAACTGAAAGAATTCTTCAGGAATAAAGCCATGGCGGACCTTCCAGGATACTCAGGTAGAGGAGGAACTGGTGCCAACGAAGGCTTCCCTGTGTGAAGAGACCTGGCATGTGTTCAGGATCCTAAAAAAAAAAAAAAAATTGTAAAAAAATATATATGTTAAAATTATGCATGACTAGGAGAATATTACCTACTGCAAACCTAAAAGTATTTTGACAAATATTAATTTCTAAAGATATTTCCAAGTCTTTCAAGACAGCACATTAGCCGGCCATAGATGGATGGAATTGATTACTTCGATAAGGAAACACCTAAGATGCTCACAATAAAAAAAAACAAAAAAAAAAAAAAAAACGCTAGCAATGCCAAAAGATGAACAAAAACCCAGTTAAATATACAGGCTCCAGGAAACCACCTGAAGGAAATATGTGTACACTAGATGTTCCTGATAATTAAGGCTGCAGTGCCTGTGCAGAGATTTTGCCAATCACAAAGTAGTAGTTGCGTGGAACTGCAAGTCCAAAAACAAACACAAAATAAAAAAAAAAAAACCCTGGCAACTGCAAGGCTCATGGGAAGGTACGCCAAACCAGCAGTACAGCGCTTATCAAGAGAGCCCAAGCACTGTGCACTATTCCTAAGCTCAAAAAGTGCACAGAGCCCATTGAAAAATCCTGCCTATCAAAAGGTAAAAAGTGGGGGACAGAAGTAAAATCTTTTACAGTAGTATAAAGGCAGGGGAGAAGAGACACAAAGACAGTGTGCCTTCACCAGCACACCTAGAAAGAAGAAGCTTCTGTCCATTCAGAGGAAACGGTAACTTCAGAGGAGAATAAAAAGTTACTTACCCAACTACAGCAGGGGCAGATTTCTTCACACTAAAGGCTATAGAGACAGAAAAACAAAAAAACAAAACACAATTATGAGCACACACTTCACTGAATAAGTCTATTTTCCATCTAGGCTTAATAAATGAGGCAAAGAACACAATACAGTATTCCATAGCAACAAGTTATTCATCTTTTAACAGTAAACAAACTTGTAAAATATAATTCCCTATGAAGAAAGAACACAACAGAATATACAGTCATGGCCGAAATTGTTGGCACCCTTGATATTTCTCCAGGAAATCATGTATTTCTCACGAAACGTATTGCATTAACACATGTTTTGCTATACACATGTTTATTCCCTTTGTGTGTATTGGGACAAAACAAAAAAAGGGAGGAAAGAAAGCAAATTCGACATAATGTCACACAAACCTCCAAAAATGGGCTGGACAAAAGTATTGGCACCCTTTCACAACTGCGGATAAATAAGAATGTTACAAGCATGTGATGCTCCTGTAAACTCACCTGCTTACATGAACTGTAAAAACTGCAAGTAACAGGTGTGGGCAATATAGAAATCACACCTGAAAGCAGATAAAAAGGAGAGACGTTCACTTAACCTTTGCATTGTGTGTCTGTCTGTGCCACACTAAGCATGGACAACAGAAAAGAGGAGACGAGAACTGTCTGAGGACCTGAGAACCAAAATTGTGGCAAAATATCACAATCTCAAGGTTACAAGTCCATCTCCATGAACTAGATTTGCCTTTGTCCACAGTGCGCAACATTATCAAGAAGTTTGCAACCCATGGCACTGTAACTAATCTCCCTGGTCGTGGACGGATGAGGAAAATTGATGAAAGATTGCAACGCAGAATAGTCCGGATGGTGGATAAGCAGCCCCAAAACATGTTCCAAAGACATTCAAGCTGTCCTGCAGGCTCAGGGAGCTTCAGTGTCAGCGCGAACTATCCGTCGACATTTAAATGAAATGAAACGCTATGGCAGGAGACCCAGGAGGACCCCACTGCTGACACAGAGACATAAAAAAGCAAGACTACAGTTTGCCAAAATGTACTTGAGTAAGCCAAAAGCCTTCTGGGAAAACGTCTTGTGGACAGATGAGACCAAGATAGAGCTTTTCGGTAAAGCACATCATTCTACTGTTTACCGAAAACGGAATGAGGCCTACAAAGAACAAAACACAGTACCTACGGTAAAAATATGGTGGAGGTTCAATGATGTGTTTTGGGGGGTTGTTTTGCTGCCTCTGGCACTGGGTGCCTTGACTGTGTGCAAGGCATCATGAAATCTGAGGATTACCAAAGGATTTTGGGTCGCACTGTAGGGCCAGTGTCAGAAAGCTGGGTTTGCGTCCAAGATCCTGGGTCTTCCAGCAGGACAATGACCCCAAACATACGTCAAAAAGCACTCAAAATGGATGGCAAAGAAGCGCTGGAGAGTTCTGAAGTGGCCAGCAATGAGCCCAGATCTAAATCCCATTGAACACCTGTGGAGAGATCTTAAAATTGCTGTTGGGAAAAAGGTGTCCTTCCAATAAGAGAGACCTGGAGCTGTTTGCAAAGGAAGAGTGGTCCAAAATTCCGGGTGAGAGGTGTCAGAAGCTTATTGATGGTTTATAGGAAGCGACTGATTTCAGTTATGTTTTCCAAAGGGTGTGCAACCAAATATTAATTAAGGGTGCCAATACTTTTGTCCAGCCCATTTTTGGGGTTTTGTGTGACATTATGTCATATTTGCTTTTCTGCCTCTGTTTTATATTTGTTCCAATACATACAAAGGGAATAAACATGTGTATAGCAAAACATGTGTTAATGCAATACCTTTTTTGTGTGAAATACTTGATTTTCAGGAAAAAATATCAAGGGTGCCAACAATTTCGGCCATGACTGTAATATATATATCTATCTATCTATCTATCTATCTATCTACTATATATCCCAAGGCAAGCTTAGAAAAGATGGATGAAGAGAGTGTCTACATAAGGATTGCTGAGGTCAACGGACCTGTCATATCACCAAACGTTTTTGGCTACATGAACTGTAAAATGCTGCAACAAATGTTAAAGTGTTACTAAACCCACACCAGTAAAATCAGTCTGTATATGCAGTAAAGCATGCCTGTTATACTCACTGCGGAACCTACGGGGTTAATCCTCTGCATTGTGTGTCCTGTTTGATCCTTTCTTCTCTGATCCTCCTCTTGTTAAAATGACCACCTGATACAGACTAAACCCGTGATCAGTGTATTACTAGAGAGTTTTTTTTTTCTCCTCGGGAGGATGCATGTGATCAGCATAGGGCCAATCAGCACTGTCCAGACAGAGAAGCAGAGGTTTCACATCTTCCTAGAGCAGAAAGAAAACTCCTCCTACAAGCTTAACCAGTGCTCTGCTGAAGTCACAAGACTGCTCTCTCTGTTGATGAGAAAATGGTATTTAGCAGTTTATAGTTACTAAAATAATTGCATTTCCATGTTGTGTGTACTGTGGGAGACCAGATATAGTGAATGCAGGTCCTGGGTTTAGTAACACTTTAGCGGGCTTATCTGTCATAATTGTATGTACAACCAAAACTTTTTCTGTATGGAGCAAGGAATGGTTAATTCCCCCTTTGGGTAGTTTTTCCTGTGTCCTGCAGGGGAGATTTCCTATTACTTTCTGTCCCAAAGACACCACAAACAATTAGAGGAAGTTCCTTAAAATGAGAGGAATTCCTCTCAGACAGCTGAAACGAACAGGTGTCTCCATTGAAAGGTTTACCCTCACCTCTTGTTCCGGTGAAACTCGAAAGACTGGATTCACACTCGAACAATTTGTAGCTTGAAGCTCCAAAAACTAGTGGTGCACTGAAATGAAAATTCTGGTGCCAAAACCGAAAATTCAGGATTTGGTCAAAAACTGAAATGAACAGTTTTTAAAAATGTATATATTTTTCAAACGCAACTTTTTTTTTTTTTTTAAAAAAAAACACACACTTTAATGATAATGGGAAAAAAAAACAAAACACAAAAAAAAACCCACCACAATATTTACCCCAATTTTTTGAAAAATACAAAAGATGATGTTATGCCGAGTAAATAGATACCCAACATGTCATGCTTTAAAATTGCGCACGCTCATGGAATGGCACCAAACTATGTTACTTAAAAATCTCCATGGGTGATGCTTTAGAGATTTTTACAGGTTACCAGTTTAAAAATTACAGAGGCGGTCTAGTACTAGAATTATTACCTTTTTTTTTTTTTTCCACTGTCCCTTTAAAATATATATATTTTCTTTTTAAATCTTTTATTCCAGTCACAAGGAATGCACAAACATCACTTGTGATAGAAATAGGCGCGACAGGTCCTCTTAATGGAGAGATTTGGAGTCAATAAGACCCCATATCTCTCCTCTGCAATGTAAAGCATTAGATAAAAAAAAAACAGTCTAATGCTTCACATAAATAAGTAAATGAATAAATAAAAAGGCCTGGTTTACATGGTGCCCGGAACCGGACGTGACCAAAATGACGTTTCTCTGGTCCTCCAAGGGCATAGAGAGGAGTGGAGGCCATCCTCCTAGATTGTAAGCTTGAAAGAGCAGGGTTCCCTCAATCCCCTCATGTTTTGCATTGTATTGGTATTGTTCTGTCACATGTTCTGTCCCCCTTTGTAATGTACAGCGCTGAGCGAACTATCGGCGCTTTATAAATACTGTATAATAATAATAATCTTTCCTTCACTGATCTCTATGCCCAGTCACCAGGAATCATTGGAATGGGTTCTCAGCTAAGCCTGAAAACCACTGGAAGCAGTGCATTCCCATTAAAAACGCTCAAAAATCAACTGTTCTCTATGGTGCCTGTTTGTGCAATCAGGTGTGAACAAGCACAGTTGATTTGTTTAGTCTGAGTGTTTTTGGAGCTTTGAGCTTCAAGCTACAAATTGCTCAAGTGTAAATCCAGCCTCAGATTTTAGATTTTCCATCACTTTTTTTCTCAGTGAGAATGATCACAGGGACAAACAGAGGGGTGAACTTTTCCCTGCATCATCAAAACCTTGACAGAGTGCTTGCTGGCCATGCACGAAGTAGATTTTTGATCAAACATTTGAAGACATGACAAAAGTCATTCAAAAAGTAATTCAAAATCAAAGGTTAAAAAGCTAACTTTTTTAGGAGTGAATGGGCTCTCTCAGACAAAACACACATTCACTGTTAGAAATCTGTTTAAAAATATTTTCCATCCTGCTCTGTCAAGTTTTCCAGTCACTGCAGTCCAAAATAAATGTCGATTTGACCCTAAAATGAGAACATTGAACGAACATTCTTAAAATTACATTTTTCTCAATGCATGGCTTACTAGTGTATAGCCAGCTTAGCCATTTCCCCACTCTTAAACATGCTTATTCAAATGTTTATTGAAAGCCCAGCTCTGGCCAAAAACAAACCCCCTCTTATCTCCTGTATTTTTTTTTTTTATTTCTGAATTTGTGAGGTTTCGTAACTTGCATGGTATACTCACCTATATCTGCCTCACTTTCTGGGGTTGTTTCCTTTCCAGGTGTGGGGACCATTAGTCTAGAGCAGTGGTGGGCAACCTTTTTTTTCAACTGAGCCAAATCTCGCCAAAACCACGATTGAAATTTATTTTGAGAGCCACATTTTTAAAACTGAAAATACATCACCCCCCATATAGTAATTTATCCCCCATAGTAATTCATCCCCCATATAGTAATTCATCCCCCATATAGTAATTCATCCCCCATATAGTAATTCATCCCCATATAGTAATTCATCCCCCATATAGTAATTCATCCCCCATATAGTAATTTATCCCCCATATAGTAATTCATCCCCCATATAGTAATTCATCCCCATATAGTAATTCATCCCCCATATAGTGTCAATTCACTTACCTTTGCTCCGCGCGTTCCTCTCGCCGTGTTCCCGCGCCGTTCCGGTCTTCAGGGCGGACTGTGAGAGGAGAGGAGTTTGTCACGCTGCCCCGCCTACATCCTGACAGCCAATGTTTGCCACGCTCCGCGGGCCGTAGTTTGCCCATTGCTGGGCTAGTTGCAGAGTCCTGACTTTTGGGACGGCCACCCGAGAGGAGGGAGGGGAGCGGGCGCCCAGCACACAGAAGAGCCGCATTAAAATGTGTAAAGAGCCGCATGTGGCTCGCGAGCCGCGGCTTGCCGACCACTGGTCTAGAGCAATGGTCTCCAAATCGCGACCCAGAGGCCGAATACGGCCCTTTGCTTGCCTTTATCCGGCCCTTGCAGCACTATTCCTCCCATTGACACCAAAATGGTGCATAATTCCTGCCACTTACAACAACAGTGGGGCACTATTCTTCCAACGGGGCACTGTTACCAACACCAGGACATTTTCTTCTACTACTGGCCACAGTCTGGCCCTTCTAAAGTCTGACGAACAGTAAACTGGCCCTTTGTTTAGAAAGTTTGGAGAACCCTGGTCTAGAGCTACAGATGTGCTCATACTATCTGGTCCCATCAGTCCCCTTTCAATGACATCACTCCTTTTGCTGACCCTGCCACTGGAGAACCAATAGGAAGCGCCCACCTAGTGCAAGTAGTGACCCCACAAAATATAAAAAAGGGAACATAAAACTTAGGACTGTAGTGTCACATGATCATGGCTTTCGGCAAGTAAAAAGGTCTTTTTCCCCCATTCCTGTGATCATTTAGCGAGTGGTAGGTTGTTCTTGTTTTGCCCATAGTTGGGCTTTAAAATCTGAATTTAATAATTCAATGTTTTTAAAAAACAGTAAAAACAAAATGTAAAAAAGCAAAAATTACTTTTGGAGGAGTCCATTACGATTACCTACTTCCTGTTCAAATATTCAATTTAACCCGGGTTCACACTATGCGGTGCAGGAAAACCGCATGTAATTTGCACAGGAATCGCACTGCATTCCTGTGCGAATTACATCATTCAAATGTCTGTACAGTGCGATTTGAGCCATACCCTTTCTATATCTCAAATCGCATCTGCACTAAAGGTGCAGGACCCTTTTTTAACCACTTGCCCTCCAGAGGATTTACCCCCCTTCCTGACCAGGCCATTTTTTGTGATACGGCGCTGCATTTCAACAATTGCGCGGTCAAGCAACGCTGTACATAAATTAAATTTATGTCCTTTTTTTCCCCCACAAATAGCGCTTTCTTTCTGTGGCATTTGATCACCTGTGCGGTTTATATTTTTTGTGCTGTAAACAAAAAAAGACCAACAATTAAAAGAAAAATTTTTTAGATTTTTTGCTATAAAATATATCCAGTAAATAAATTAAAAGAAAATCTAATTTTGTCATAAATTTAGGCCAAAATGTATTCTGCGACATGTCTTTGCTAAAAACAAATCCCAATAATTGTATATTAATTGGTTTACGTGAAAGTTATAGCATTTACAAATGGCGGTATAAATACTGGAATTTTTTATTTAATGGCGGCGATTCTTCCTCCCACTGACACCCAGGACGGGGCGCCATTCCTCCCACTGACACCCAGGCAGTGACATCAGGACGGGGCGTCCTCCCACTGACACCCAGGACGGGGGCGCCATTCCTCCCACTGACACCCAGGACGGGGCGCGATTCCTCCCACTGACACCCAGGACGGGGCGCGATTCCTCCCACTGACACCCAGGACGGGGCGCGATTCCTCCCACTGACACCCAGGACGGGGCGCGATTCCTCCCACTGACACCCAGGACGGGGAGCGATTCCTCCCACTGACACCCAGGACGGGGCGCGATTCCTCCCACTGACACCCTGGACGGGGCGCGATTCCCCACTCCAGGATGGGGCGCGATTCCTCCCACTGACACCCAGGACGGGGCGCGATTCCACCCACTGACACCCAGGACGGGGCGCGATTCCTCCCACTGACACCCTGGACGGGGCGCGATTTCCTCCCCTGACACCCACGGGGCGCGATTCATCCCACTGACATCAATGATGTAATTTTTTTTTTTTTACTCCCAATGACCACCAAGTCTATGGCATTGTTTCCTCCCACCGATGCCAGTATATTTTTTATTTTGCCTGGCCGCAGTCCGGCCTCTCAAGTTTGAAGGGCATTAAATTTGCCCTTTGTGTTGAAAGTTTGGAGACCACTGCTCTAGTGATTAAAGTGCTCGTCCCCAAGCCGCTACTCTATGCATGCATAAGACACAGAGAGTTGTGACTTGCCCACCCTCCCCCTGCCCCCCCCCCACTCTCTCATTGGCTCACTGGCTGTGATTGACAGTAGTGGGAGCCAATGGGCTCCCGCTGCTGACTCTGCCAATGAGGAGGGGAGTACCCAGAAAGCTCTTGTGCACATTGCTGGATCAGAACGGGGCTCTGGTAAGTATTGGGGGGGGGGGGGGTTTCGCTGCACACAGAAGGTTTTTTCCCTTCATGCATAGAATACATGAAGCCTTTACTACACTTTAAGCTTACAATCACTGTCCAAATCTTGTAGACTTTACCTCCACAACATCTCCAAGATACATTCGTTCCTAACCACGGAAACCACTAAGCAACCTTATTCACTCCCTTGTTATCTCTTCCCTTGACTATTGTAACTCCCTCCTCATTGGCCTACCGAATCGCAGGCTATCCCCTCTTCAGTCTATCATGAATGCTGCTGCCATCTCATCCACCTTACTAACCTCTCTATATCTGCCACCCCTCTCTGCCAATCCCTCCACTGGCTTCCCATTGCCAAACGAATAAAATTCAAAACACTAACAATAACATATAAAGCCATTTATAACTCTGCCCCAAATTACATCACCGATCTTGTCTCCAAATATCACCCAATCCGTACTCTCCACTCCTCGCAAGACCTCCTACTCTCTAGCTCCCTTGTCTCCTCCTCCCATGCACGTCTCCAAGAGTTCTCCAGGGCGTCACCCATCCTCTGGAACTCCCTACCCCAATTTATCAGACTATCGCCTACTCTACTTGCCTTTCAGCGATCACTGAAAGCCTCTCTCTTCAGGGAAGCCTATCTCGCCCTCTGCTAATTCTGGAATCCTCTACTCCTCCTACCACTCCATCCCCCACAGCCAATTACCTTTTGTACCACTATCCCCTCCCTCCTAGATTGTAAGCTCCAAGGAGCAGGGCCCTCAAATCCCTCTTGTATTGAACTGTATTGTCTCCCACTATAATGTAAAGCACTGAGCAAACCGTTGGCGCTATATAAATCCTGTATAATAATGATAACAATGTAGATGGGTCCCAAGTATGCACGGACACATAGGCTACCATGCAGGGGTGTTTAGAGATGGAAAAGATAAAGCCAAGCGCCCCTATGAGCAGTGTTATAAACATCCCGTGTGCATGACACCCAAGTATGAACCTCGCTAAAACAAGTAGTGAGGAGTCAATCCCACCACAGACCGCTTTTCAGAGGGGCACCAGTGAGAAGGCGCATGGAGAAGGGAATGCCATCCCCTTTGTAGAGAACTTCTCACTGCAGTGCCAAGGCAGGAAGTGAAGGGAAATTTCCCCAGGAGGACACAAGAATGTTTTATTCACATGTCTATGGCTTGCCATGCTCTTAGGCAGGGGTGTCAAACTGGCGGCCCTCCAGCTGTTGCAAAACTACAAGTCCCATCATGCCTCTGCCTTTTGCTTGTAACTGTCAATCTTACAATGCCTCATGGGACTTGTAGTTTGACAGCAGCTGCAGGGCCACCAGTTTGATACCCATGCTCGAAGGTCATCACACTGTTCTGTGCAGGAACACTAAGGGCCGGTTCACACTATAGAAATGCAGTCCAGATGGGTTTCTGCATGCGTGTTTTTGCTGCATTCCAGTGTGTTTTTGATGTGTTCCATTGCATTTTTATACATTTCAGTTCATTTTGTCCCCTCTATTTTTCTTTAATTTAAATAGAAACATGTGCGTTCTTGATGCGTTTTACCGTGTTCCAGTACAGTTCTGTACAGAAAAAATGCAGCCTGTTCTACTTTTTTGCATCCTGCATCTGGAACTGCAAGCACTGATGTGAACTATGACATTGACAGCCATATAACCTACTTTCTGTGCGTTTTGGATGCAGGAAAAAAAAACTGAAATGCATGTAGCGTGAACTGGCCCTCAAAGAGAATTTGTTTTTTTTTCAATCATATTAAGCAGAATTTAAAACAACTATAGAGAAATAAAGAGCATGCTTGCCAGTCCAGCTCCCATGACCTGTGCAGGTAAGTGACCCGGAGATCCATGGTGGAAGGTCAGGGCCTTGGAGGAGTCATGTCCTTCCCTACAACTCCCCCCTCCCCCCCATAGAAGACATCACCCACCCGATAGCAGAGCCGCCCTGGACAGCATGATGAAGCTCTTCGCTCAGGAACACCAGCCAGATACAAAGCCGCCACCAGCCACACCGCTGCCCTCCGTGTCCCTGACAAGTCCCCAAGAACCAAGATGGCGAGGGCCACGCCTACGTTTACGTCAGTGGGGCGGAAAGGTTACCAGGTAGCCATGCCATTTAATGGCAACAACCGGCAGACGTCCTTTTAGTAATACTTGACGTCATCACTATAAACCTATCAAAACTCCATTCCACTGCAATGAATATTAAGAAAAAGTCTTCAGGTTGCAATCCGTGTCAGCGGCTGTCCCTTGTGAGAAATATTAGTGGGCTGAGGCCTGGATTACACAAAGCATTCAGCCATGTAATGTATGTTGTTATAACGCTAGTGTATGTATTCATTTACACCGAGTCAGCTGCTTCATGTAGTTTAAAGATCACGGTTTGGCTTTTCCAATACTAAACATGGTGGCGGGGACACTTCCCCTCAGGGCGGAGTTAGTGGCGAGCCGAGAAAGGGGCGGGCTGTGGATGACGGGAGGAAGCCGGGCTGTGACACGTGCGGGAGACATGAGTTCGGATAGCCCTTGGGGGAGTCCAGTGAGGGCCCCGGCCTGTATGGAGGTCCACCTGGGAGCAGTGAGGTACCGGACAGGTGAGGGAGTCTGGAATATACACAGGATTCATACACTCAAATAAAAGCATTAAGATGACCACACACAGTATATTTCCATTGTACAATCTTCTTTATGGGGGATGTATACAGTGCGATTAAATTGCTGATTTAATGAAATCAATGGCCAATTCTACAAAGCAATCAAATTGTACATCAATCAAGTGTGAGAAAACGTTCGACCAAGTTCTGGTGGGAAAAATTGATTGTACAGGTTCTCACATGTAGATTAATTGTTAGGGATTCACAAGGGTGCTAAAACATCATTGACTGACCCGTATAACTGTTCTTTTCTTTTTTTTTCTTTTTTTTTTTCTTGTCCCAACCAATCGACTTGGGTCTATCAAAACCATCACTGTCTGTCTGATGTGCATTGACTGGCGTTGCTGATTTTGGTTTATGATGTCTGATTTGATTTTATCAAATTGGACATTGATCAGTTTTTTTTTTTTGCACCATGTATGGTCACCATCAGGGACAGACTGATAACTCATGGGACCCCTGTGTCCTTCCCCACACTCAAATCGCACCCAAAAAAAGCCTATAAAAGGTACCAGGAGCATTTCATGGGGCCCCCTACTGACCCCGAGCCCTCGGGCAGTGCCTGAGTGCTCAAATGGTCAGTCCACCCCTGGTCACCATTCACGTTACAGTCTGCCTATAGGATCTTTGTACAATCAACTTTAGACCTGTCCAAACTACGTAATAAGAGGCTCTATCAAAATTATTCGATCAGGCTGCCTGTACACTGCACAGTTGGTAGAGCTAAAGGAGATTATACAGTTAGATTGTAACGTGTGTGTGGTGAGCTTTACTGCTTCCCTGTAGTTCTGCTACAGGGTGGCAGGGCTGCACGAAATCACGTGTGTGTATATATGTGATTTTGTATTTACGGGTAGGGGGTATGCGCACGCCTTACACGCGCTGCCGTTGGTGGCTACAGCTGTTGATCGCCAGGTCCCGGCTGTAGATTCCTTGCCGACACCTGTCAATCACCCAGGAAATACTGACAGAGGAGAGGTCTGTATGTAAACAATACAGATCTTTCCCATGTCAGCACCAGCATGCTGCTTTGTATTGCTCTGCATAGAGCAGCAATCCAAAGCAGCATGTTTACACAATAAAGCACACACAGACAACACAGTAAAACAGCACACATTTAACCCTTCTATCACCCAAGATGTTAACCCCTTCCTGCCCAGTGTCATTAGTGTCCCACTATAAGTTGCTGATTGCCACCATTTACTAGTATAAAAAAAAAAAAATTCCAGTATATATACCGCCATTTGTAAACACTATAACTTTCACATAAACCAATTAATAGACAATTATTGGGAATTTTTTTTAGCAGAGACATGTAACAGAACACATTTTGGCCCAAATTAATGAAAATTTTTTTATTTTTTTTTGTTTTTAATAAATATGTTTGATAGCAAAAAGTCAAATATATAAATATTATTTATTTATTTTTTTTTAAATAGTTTTTTGTTTATAGCGCAAAAAAAAAAAAAAACCACACAGGCAATCAAATACCACCAAAAGAAATCTCTATTTGTGGGCAAAAAAAGACTTTAATTTGGGTGCAGCGCTGCATGACTGCGCAATTGTCAAAGTAACGCAGCGCCATATCGCAAAAAATGACCTGGTCAGGAAGGGGGGTAAATCCTCTGGAGGGCAAGTGGTTAATGGTCGCTGTACACTCAACAATCTGATTGTATGATTCTTCACAGAATCAGATAATACCATCAGATCTATGAATCTTTGAAAAGTCCCATACTGTGCCATTGATTTGGTTCACAAGCAGATGGTTTCATCAAATTATGCTGACCTGTCTGAATGGAAGATCAGATTGTAGGAAAATACAGATCGGTAAGTATATGGTGCATCAAACTATTCCCATCTTGTGATTGTATGTTTGATCAGATAGTAAATCTATCCATGATACAATCAAATCTAAAATTGTTCTGTGTATGGCCAACATTTGGTCAGTTGTCAACTATGTAGTGCACAGACCTGCTGAAATTGATACAAATGAAAAGGGTTGTGCAACACTAGTCAACTTCCAGGTTTCCATTATATTCAGTGGTGTCTGTTCACACCTGAGAGTGGTGTTGCTTGAAACTGGAAAAAGTACATGAGCTTCACTGGGGCAGTCACGTGTTTCTGGCCTCTGTAGACTTCAATAGGAGTGCCTGAAAATGTATCTAATGCACATCTTTAGCTTATTCGCCACCTAGTAACTAGATTTCCATTGGCTAAAAGCAAAACACTCATACTTGGAAATGCCTAAGGCTACGTTCACACTAGCCTTGTGTGCAGGCGGCAGAGAGGCGTTTGGGAAGCGTTTTTACCGCTTCCCAAACGCCTCTGCCAACTCTGCACATTACAGCACATGGTGCTGTTCTAACAGGAGTGTTTGCGTCGCGCCGCGTTGCGTCGCGGCAAAACGGACACCTCTGGTCGAGTCAGGAGGCTTTGAAGCCTCCTATTCTCGTCTATGGTGCCGCTCCGCAACGCCCGGCCCGGCCGGCGTTTGCGGTGCGGTTGCGGGGCGTTTGCGGAGCGGTAACACCACTCAAATGCATTATAGGCGTTTGTGGGGCGTTATTAACGCTCGGCAAACGCCTAGCAACCGCCGCTAAACCGCGCATGCGGCGTTTTTGCGGAGCGTTTGCCGAGCGTTAAAAAACGCTCCGCAAACACCGGACCAACGCTTGCCAAACGCTATAGGGGCGTTTGGCAAGCGTTGGCAAAACAGCCTAGTGTGAACGAGCCCTAAAAAACGTGTGTACAAAAGAAATGAGAAAACGCTGATGTTCAGGTGTGAATGGGGCGTAACCTCTTGAAGCTGAGTGTATGCAAATTAGTGGCCTCACATAACTGGGCTTTTTTCTGTGGGGCCGGTAATTTGCATACCTGTCTTTGTGCTGGGAGTGCGCCGCACGGAGCGCTTCCAGCACAAAGACCGGGGTGTCAGTGAGAGCCCCGCTTCCTGTTCTAATGATCGGGAACTGGAACTCTATTCCAGATCCTGTGATTGCTGTGATAACCTCTGATTAGCTATTACAGTGATCAGTCACTGTGAAGCCTGCTCCTCCCCCCTTGTTTCCTCTCTGCTTGGAGGAGAGAGACACATTGTATCTCTCTGTCCTTTTCAGAGAGAAAAAAAAGTGTGTGATAAATACAAATAATAAAAAAATAAATATACCTAGATCAAGATTTGATCTAGGTCTGTGCCAGGGTTAGTGTTTGGGTCAAGGTCAAAGGTCATGGTCAATATTTATTTATTTTTTTTAATGTTTGAAGCGGAGTTCCACCCAAAAGTGGAAGCCCCACTTACATATATAAGGTGCGGTGCTTAAACAATAATCAATACATCTATGTGCCAAAAATATAAAATCATGAATCATATAAAATACATAAAGTGACTCGTGACCAGGTGCCAACATATAAAGTGACTTCAGTGGTATCATGTATTCCGCCACTGTAGGAGTGACTCTTGGTGAACAATGATGATAAAATATATTGTCCAAATGTGAACATGGAAGATCAAAGTGTCTCCAACAATAGGTGCTCCGTCCAAAACAAATGGTGAGGTGACCGGTGTGTATGATAAGGCTGTGCACTCACCAGATGCACAGTCAATCTGCGCATTTAGAGACAATACTCTTATAGGGCACACTGTAGGCTCCTGTATAGGTCTGGTCTGGTCAGGTGTTCCCCTCACTGTTCTCCTCTGCTGGCAATATGGCCTCGCTTCCTCATGCATACAGCTCTGTGGGTTGTTGATGACTCACAAAGAGCCCCGAAAAAGAGGAGGCCAATAGTGTAATACCGTTTAAGCAGATACACTTTTATTCCATTCAAAGGCAGTAGTTACAGGGAAAGAAACCGTTGCACTGACCGTGTGGTGATGACACAGATGGCCGCCGGGACCCATGTGGTGCCGGTGGCGTATGTCACGACGCTGTAGCTCCTCCTGATGCGTTTCGTGCTAACCGCACATAATCCTAGGGGGTGTGCTTCCTGGTGAGTGCATAGCCTTATCATACACACCGGTCACCTCACCATTTTGTTTTGGACGGAGCACCTATTGTTGGAGACGCTTTGATCTTCCATATTCACATTTGGACAATATATTCTATCATCATTGTTCACCACGAGTCACTCCTACAGTGACGGAATACATGATACCACTGAAGTCACTTTATATGTTGGCACCTGGTCACGAGTCACTTTATGCATTTTATATGATTCATGATTTTATATTTTTGGCACATAGATGTATTGATTATTGTTTAAGCGCCACACCTTATATATGTTTGTGTTTTGAAAGGTTGTTTGGTATCCTTGGGTGCGTTGGCTGCTTTTCTGACTTACAGCGCTCGCTTTTAGTTTCCTTTTGGAAGCTCCACTTGTTTGGCTCCTCCACTGCCATATTTGGCACCTTTTGGGGGGAGAGGGGAGCGGGTACCTGATTTTTGCCACGGCGAAGTGAGCCAGAAGTTCGGCCCCTCCTTCCTCCCACAGTCTCCTGGAGCTTTCACAGGCCCCAGAAGACTGCTGGACCAAACTGTTGGCGCTATATAAATCCTGTATAATAATGATAATGTCACTTGCACACATGTGTACAGGAGTCACAATAGTGGTGCAGTACTGCACTATTTGCATTCACAGCAAACCCTGTATGCCCTGAATAATGAGCGCACTTTGCATGCGCAGTGACAACATCGGCTAGAGCCACTGTGAATATCTCTTAAATGGCTTAAATTCACAAAACATTCACTGTACCTACAGGTAAGGCTTATTAATAGCTGACCTTTATGTACAAGTTAAAATCTATTTGAAAGGTTCAGTTATTCCACAATCTAGCCTGTGCAATTAAGGCTTGTTTTACACTGCTGTGCTGCAGTGTGAGACTGGCCCAATATGCCCAAGCTGATAATAACCGTGCAGCTTTGTGAAATGTTCTTTTGTTTTCAATGTGTTTTTATATTATTTTAATACCTGCATATTCCTATTTTTCAGATGGGGCACTGCTGATGGCAGCTTCTAGTTTGAATAGTCGCACTTGGGGAGGTTCTATTTGGGTTTTTAAGGATCCTCTGAGAGCCCCTAATGAAAGCCTTTGCACAGCTGGAGTTCAGACAGAAGCTGGTGTAGTAGATGTGGCCTGGGTCCTGGAGAAAGGAATCCTCGTAGCTTCAGATTCCGGTATAGAAATGTTGTCTGCCAGTCATTTTAATGTTTATTTGTGCTAAAATAAAATACAAAGCGACCTCCATGGGAAGCCTTCAAAGTTACTTTTATGTGTTTTGTGGGGTTGATGAGAAAAAATGCTGAATTCCTTAGAGATCTTACCACTGATTATATGCAGCAGTCTGTACAGGCTAATGTCTCCTCCACCTCTATAAACACCCATAGACAATAGAAGGTGAAGAGGAAGGGGTGCATGAATTGCTTCTTCATAAACATGCCCAGAAAACTATACTTTATACATCTTTAAAGGGGTTTGAATTTGGGAATAAGAGGGGCAGTCTTCTTTCTTTTTTGCAAGACCTGAATATTCCCCATCCTCTATTCCCATGTTTCTTGACCTAGCAGAATGTTCTTGGACCACTTCAAGTGAGATCCTGGATGCCTTCACCTCCTCTTCCTTCCTATATAAATCCACAGTACATTACTCCTCTGACCAATTGTCAACCTACCTTGTGACCATCACGTTAACCCCAGCCATGAGAGCATATCTAAAAGCCCTCATCACTTTAGAAATTGAATGTGCCATATTAAACTTGGCAATACATAAAACCCCCACCTGGACAGTTTCCTTGTAGGTTGGTATAACCAGTTTCACTATGTCTTTAGTCCACATCTGCTAAAAACATTTGAGGCAGCCAAATAGGCTTGAATGCTCCACCATAAGAGGGGAACGTATAATTCTACTTTTCAAAGTTGATCTAAAGACAAAACTTTTTTACATTTTGGATAGAGTAAGGTAGGGTTATAACCCCTGTATATATATTTTTTTTTTTTTTGCCATCTGTGTCACATTGGGGTGATTTTAGATCATATCCTGTCCCATACCTAAAACAGGAATTGGGAGGAAATCCCTCCAAAGGGGGGAATTTCTGATTGTCACCAGAACTAGTGTCCCCATTGGAAGATTTGCCTTCTATTTACTGTTCTAGGGACAGCCCAACTTTTAGGATTTTCTTTTACTTTCAATGAAAATTGTAAACATTACAAAAGGGAGAAACTCCCTAATGGGAACAAAGAAAGCAATATAAACTGACAGATGCTCTGATCCCTCTCCACTCTGTCCAAACTAGGAAAGACGTTATGCATGCGTTCCTGACACAATCATATGTGAACCTAGCCTTACTGGCTGGATCACCAGGTGAAAATAAGAGTCTAAAAAAAAAAAAACCAATGCAGCCATCATAGCTAAGAATTGGTAAGCTGCAAAATAACCAATGTTTGCTTTTGGGATTAATACTGCTTTAACGCTGTCTCCCCTCTTTGTTACATCACTTATGAGTTGAGAAACAAGCCAAAAAAATTGTAGCAAATTTGGTACCCCTGGATTAACCGAGACCATACACTTTCATCTTAGCACTCTTGCTCTTGTTGTTTTTCTGTACTCTTCTTCTCTCTGAATTCTGTGTATAATTAATTGTGGCATGTTGTCATTCTAGTGTGCTTTGTATGGTAAAAATGACACGGCAAATGGTCTGTGCTCTTACTTTGTATATGTTTTATATTAGATTAACCTGTTTATTTTGTCAGTAATGTCCATGTAAATAAGAAGTATTGGGTTTTGAAAAAAAAAACAAAAAAACATACATAATCACCTAGGTCATAATCACATAATCACCTGCATCTGTCCCCCGATGCCTCTAAGACTGAGAATTGAGCAATCAAAGACAGCTGATTACTCAATGTTTGGTCTTCAGTGATCAAAGAGCCGGTGACTCTGCTCTAACCCTCCAACACTCACTGGAGCAACAGGCTGTGGATGGGACAGAAGTGGCTGGCTCTGGCTCTCAGCACTGCATTGAGAGGCTGAGCCAGTTGCCCCTTAGGCATCCTCCAGAGTCTGCACCAGCTTTCTTGGTAAAGCTGAGCTCCACCTTAAAAGGGAAGTTCCACTTTAAGGCCTCCTCGCCCCTCCTCTTCACCAAATGGCACCTTTTTCGGGGAAAGCGGGTACATGGTTTTGACAGGCGATCCGAGCGGAAGTTCTCTCCCTCTACTTCCCCACAGTCTTCTGGGACATGGCACAAGTCCCCGAAGATTGCGGGACCATTCACAATGCAGGCACCTGGATGTGAAACCGCAAGCTGTCACAGTCGGGTGCCCACAGTTGAGATGCCGGCGCCGAGAAATCTGTAGCTAATTATATAGATGACAGATCTGGTATTGCATCCATTAAAGAACTATTCCATATTTACCCAGCTAAACTATTCTTGGGAAGGTGGGAGGGGATGCTTTGAGCATGAATATGTTGTACTGAGTACGATATTTTATCGTATAGTCCATAAATATCAAGTTCAAATGCTCTGAAATGTTATATTGTTTGAATTGCTTCTCTTCTTGTAATAAATATTGGGTTATTTTTGTTTTGGCAGGTGCAGTGGAGCTATGGGAGTTGCTGGATAATGAATCTCTGCTTGTTAATAAATTCTCCAAATATGAACATGATGATATGGTCACATCTCTGAGTGTGTTCACTGGTGGATCCCAGGCTGTTAGTGGGAGCAAGGATTTCAGGTTTGCGCTAAACAATTGAATTCAAAGAGATAGTCCATCCAAAAGTGATGGAGAGTTAAGCCAGCCATAAATGGATCGAATCTCGAGCAGTTCAGCAAGGATCGGCCGAAATTCGATCTAGTTATGGGCAAGCTAATTGTACTGAAGTCAATCCATTGATTGAGCTCCAGTACAAACAGCATGTTGGATTTTTTGCATGCGATCACAGCCAGCAGATACAGCCGCTAGTGATCACTGGGATTTTCCGGCAGGGAAAGGCAGAACACAATAGCTCAGCAGGAAGGTTTTACCATAGCAATGCTGAATGTGTTTATGCGGGAATCAAGCAGTTGTCTGTGGCTTGCTCACACAAGATTACTATCAGGGAGTCCCATTCTCCCTGTTGGGTTGTTATTTCTGTGCTATATTATAGAAACAGTAAGAAATGGGATATTTTAAACTCCAAGTGGCTAAGAACCCAGCTGATCATTATAACAGGATGATGGCTCCTATAGTTTCTCTTAAACTGATTATACACTATACAGTATGTACAATTTCCTTTAGATCTGCAAGCAACTATGCCATGTAAGGGCCTCTGTGATTGGATAGAAATTGATTGGATTGTATAGGTTTGTCCTTATACTGCATAGTTTTGATAAGTAAAATGAGTTTGTACAGTCAGATTGTAGTGTGTGTGACCATCCCAAGATTTATAAGAAGCCACAGGGCGATTTTGGCCTACCAGATTTAAGAATATGTACACCCAACATTTCATATTCCTGATATGTGCTTGTTGTAGCATGTACTTGTATGAAACCGTATCCTGTCCTCTTTGTATTACTTTTTTTGTGTGAAATCCCTGGTGCGCCTGCCAGTCCCTCTGCTTTGCTATTTAAAACTAACCACGCTAAGCATGAGAGCACAGTGTGGTCAGTTTCTTAGTTATGCTGGGAGCTAATCCAATGTGGCGGCCCCCCTCAAACATCCCCCACCCCCCTGCACAACCTTTTATTGAGAAGATCAGTGGGCTTCTGTTTCTCCTCCCCCCTCCCTTAACTCCTTATAGCAGATCTTCACCCAAAAGGGGATGCATTGCCTAGGCGGTCCACCTCCCCTTCGCTCACAGCTTTCTGTGACACATCACAGGTCCCAGAAGACTGCGGGACTGTTCAAAAGTACAGCTCTTGGAAGTTTTACTTCTACTTTAACTGATGACTATTTTTTTTTCTTTTTTTGTGAACTGCCCCTCTATTTTAAATGTTTTACTGTCTGTATACTGTTTGCAATAACCCTTGTTTGTACTTTAGTGTAAAGGTTTGGGATCTTTCTCAGAAAACTCCCTTGAAATCCTATAAAGGTGAGTGTACAATTATTTGTGCATTTCCCTCTGTTGGTCTGTTTTGGTTTTAAAGCTAAAGTTTAGGCATGGTCATTTTTACATAGTTACCTTGGACCAGTGTAAGTATGGCTTCCCAATGGAAGCTGGAAATCGCTGTTGTAGGCTCCACCTCTACAGTGATTGCCAGTAGCTTCTGGATCTCTTGCTGATCACCTGCCCTGATGCTTGCTGAGCACAGGAGGTTACTTCCTTGACACAAGCACTATTCCAAGAACACTTTAATTTTCTCAGTGGACAGGGCGGGGATTGTGACATCACTTCCCCACCTCTCCATGTCGTACAATCAGAAAACACTTTGCATTAATTGAGAAACCGCAAAGTGTTCCCTGAATGCCAACTGTGCCAAGCAAGCGATCTTCTTCAGAAAACTGCAGGGCAGTCGCTTGGCACAGGACCCAGAAGCTAGCGGCAATCATTGTAGTAGTGAATATGGCACGTATATAATTATATTGGTCCCAGTTGTGAAAATTGCCATACCTAAACTTTAAGGAAAGCTACATTTTTTTTTCTCTACTGACTCACTGCAGTTTGTGGTGGACTAAGCTCTTTTCCTCTTGGACTGCATGCTTACTGTCCAACACCGGCAGCAGGTTATGCAGTATTTGAAATCTTCATTGCGATATTGATTTTGGAGAAATCTAGCTTATACTACAGAAGGAAATGTGTTATCTTCAGGCTCTCAAATAGAAACTGTGTGTATTTTGTTCAAAATTCATGGTGTGTGTGTGTGTGTGTGTGTAAACAGCAGACTGTGTTTGAATTGTTTACTGGATGTGACCTGGATATCAGCAGTATGAATTGGACACTTTTATTATCAAGACACACCATTTGCTGCAGCACCACACAGCATCCCCTTCACTTTTTACACATATTTGTAGTATAGGGTACCCCCTGCCACCATCTGACAGTACCAAAGTAACCTAGGTAGACAAAAGACAACTTTTGAGAAAATGGCAATTTGCAGAACTAGTTTGTAAGCTCTGGATGGCCTAGACTTTTTTTTTTTTCTGAATCAAGCAGCCAATTCTATCATCTTTCTCTTGCAGATGTTAATTTTATTGTCTATCCACAGTGTCACTTTAAAGTGTACTTTTCAAAACCGATTCTAGTAACCTCTATTGGATAAGGGAGGTTATTTTGGATAGGCATTCCTTTTACTCATATACATCATTGCAATATATTTTTGTGTAAATTTTAAAGTAGTCCTAAGGTCACTTTTTTTTATTACCTTAATGCATTCCCTGATTCCGTCACTTTGGAGGGTTTTCCTCCCACTTTCTTGTGGCTATGAGACAGGAAGTAAAGGAAATCGGCCTAGTGGGACACAGATGGGAAATAAAAATCTGACAGGTTAATATCCTCCCTTCGTCTATCCAAAATGAAAAGTTGCCATACTGCCGGGGATTAAACTGAGCTGAAATTGACATGTGATTACAATTACTAGCTGTGTTAAAAAAAAAAAAAAGTCATATGCATGCATGTATATAGAATTTTAGCCATTTATTTTTTTTTTTTTTTTTTTAGCACATTCCAGCTTCGTGAACTGTGTGTCCACCTGCCCTGGAAAAGAAACAATGTTTCTTTCCTGCAGTGAAGTAAGAATTGTTTTTCATTAAGCTGCAGATTACACGTTAATATGAAACTTGTCAAAAATTTGCTCACGTATGGTATTGCTTCACTTTGCACTTCTGGTAGTCCAACCCTGTTGATTTCTTTAACTGCTTCCCGACTGCCCTATAGCAGAAATACTGCTACAGGGCGGCATGGGTGCACGCATGCGCCCTACCCGCACCGCCATTCGCGGCTGGGGCTGTCAATCACCGGGTTCTGGCCGGTGATTACTCGCCGGTGCCCGGTAATTGCCGAGCATCTCCAATGGGGAGGAGAACTGTTTGTAAACAAAACAGTTCTCCCTGTTAGCACAGCCATGTGAAGCACATGGACACAGCAGCACACAGTTAATCCTTTGATCGCCCCTCATGTTATCCCCTTCCTGCCCAGTGCCGGCACTGGGGGGCTACAGTTCATTGAGGGAACCATGAATGCCAACATGTACTGTGACATACTGAAGCAGAGCATGATCCCCTCCCTCCAGAGACTGGGCTGCAGGGCAGTATTCCAACATAACGACCCCAAACACACCTCCAAGATGACCAATGCCTTGCTAAAGAATCTGAGGGTAAAGGTGATGGACTGGCCAAGCATGTCTCCAGACCTAAACCCTAATGAGCATCTGTGGGGCATCCTCAAATGGAAGGTGGAAGAGCGCAAGGTCTCTAACATCCACCAACTCCATGATGTTGTCATGGAGGAGTGGAAGAGGACTCCAGTGGCAGCCTGTGAAGATCTGGTGAACTCCATGCCCAAGAGGGTTAAGGCAGTGCTGGAAAATGATGGCCACATAAAATATTGACACTTTGGGCCCAATTTAGACATTTTCACTTAGGGGTGTACTCACTTTTGTTGCCAGCGATTTTAGACATTAATGGCTGTGTTGAGTTATTTTGAGGGGACAGCAAATTTACACTGTTATACAAGCTGTACACTCACTACTTTACATTGTATCAAAGTGTTATTTCTTCAGTGTTGTCACATGAAAAGATGTAATAAAATATTTACAAAAATGTGAGGGGTGTACTCACTTCTGTGAGATACTGTGTATGTGTGCAATATTTTGGACTTTTTGCTATGAAATATGTCCAGTGAAAAAAAAAAAATCAAATTTCATCATAAATTTATGCCAAAATGTATTCTGCGACATGTTTTTGCTAAAAAAAAGTTCCCAATGCATGTAAATTAATTGATTTACATGAACGTTATAGCGTTTACAAATGGCGGTGTAGATACTGGGATTTTTTTTTCTCTTTTGGTAATAGCTGCGATCAGCGACTTTTAGTGGGACTGCGGCAGACATTCTGACACTGGGGGGGAACTGACTTGGTGTCACCCCCAGTGACACCAATACAGTGATCAGTGTTGAAAAAAAAAAGCCAGAGCAGTGTGCCTGTGCTAACAGGTAGGAAGACTGTTCGTAAACAAAAGTCTTCCTCCCCGTCAGAGATGCTCGGTAATCACCGGGCGCTGGCGTGTAATTACCAGCTGGGACCCAGTGATTGACAGCCCCAAATGGTGCGCATATATATACGTGATTTCACGCACCCGTGCCGCCCTGTAGCAGTATTTCTGCTATAGGACGGTTGGGAAGCAGTTAAATTTCACTTTTGTAGGAAACAAATTAACAAAAAAAAAAATAGCCTTTACAATTGATACACTAGCCATATTGTATATGAATGTTATTGAAAACTACCCTTTGTTTTCAATCTGTAGCACAAATTTTCTGTATAATTCAATGCAATATGGCATTATGGCATACAATATATTGTACACAGATGGTGTATGGGAACACCCCTCAGAAATGTAATTTCCTGCTTGTGTAATTGGCTCATTGATTTTCCCAGTTCTCTGCAATAAGTTACAAGTCATATTTTAGGCAATCTCTTCAACAAAAATGTTTGGTGAGATATTCCTCAAGAGTTAATCAGTTCCAAAGGGATTCAGAACCTGCAAATTTCCTCATTCGAACACTGTGTAAGTGCATCAACTGATTGCTACACCCATTCAGATTCACTTTGCACATGGACACAGACAAAGGTTGAAATTTGCAACAAAGTTCGTTAACATCTTTGCAATGTACATTGATCACATCCAGAAGGATTTGCTTTTTTTTTTTTCTCAACAAAATTGGAGGCATTCTTTAAATGTGGCAGTTGCAGTAGTTTTTCTTTTTTTAGGCTTTTTTTTCTTTTAGTTTCTGCTGGTGAATCCTGCCAGTAACACACTTTTTATCTTAGGGTGTCTCCGCTCTGGCTAGAGGAGTAACAGACATCTATGTACAGCATTGTTGACAATCTGGGCAGAAGGTAGTGTTAGATGCACCTGCAGATTTATATGGACTTGACTGATAAATTAAAGTGGCACTCCAGCTAACACTTCTTTAACCAGATGACTTTTTTTTTTTTTTTTTTTTTGTGATGGATAAAGATTTTACATAAATTTAATAAAAGCTGACTTTTCTAAGCACCCCTGCCAGTTGTAAATTGTTTCTCTTCAACCCTCTAACATCCACTTTTGCTAGACAGCTTGGTCTTTTAAAGTTAAAAAATGACAGACATGCTGGCCAAGTCACCAGGTGAAAATAAAAGAAAAGGCTCAAACTAATGCAGGCATCACATCTAAGAACAGGAAAATTGCAATACAATTTTGCGGTTTCTGGTTTAATACCGCTTTAAAGTAAAGTTGCTGATTTGCTTATACAGTATCTCCAAAAGTTTATAGAGACCTATGGCTGTGTGCAATCAAACCTGAAATGTAATTTTTGCATGGAACTGTGATTAATGTCTACTTACAATGGGTTCCCCTAATTCTGAGACCAATGACTATATTCTGGAGACCATGTTCACTAGGGTTTACATTGAAGGGGAATGCTCCACAATGGAGACACAGCAAAAAAAAAAAAAAGACTGAAAATGGTCCTAATCCTTCCCCACTTCTGCTTCCAAAGGCTTAAAAAAAAAAAAAAAAAAAAAAATTCACATATGACAATATGCACTCTTGGCTCTTTTCATATTTTCATAAATTTTTGAGTGACCTTTTTATTGAAGGATGACTGTGATGCTTTTCTTTGTGCTTTTTTAAGTTTTTTGTTTCTGTGTCTTTAAAGGATGGCAGGGTATTGCTGTGGGACACCAGAAATGCTAAACCTGCAAAACGTATTGGTAAGTAATGTGGGTAGAAAACCAGTTTATTTTTAACCAGTGCAAACACTGTACATTTGTTTTCAGCTTATGAAACTGCCATATTTTTGGCACAGAAGTATTGGTGGCAAAAAATTTTGCCAAACAAAATTTGAGTACTAATAGCATCTATGTATGTAAGGCATTGTATTTTAACACACAAACTATTTAAAATGTGCATATACAGTCAGGTCCATAAATATTGGGACATCGACACAATTCTAACATTTTTGGCTCTATACACCACCACAATGGATTTGAAATGAAACGAACAAGATGTGCTTTAACTGCAGACTGTCAGCTTTAATTTGAGGGTATTTACATCCAAATCAGGTGAACGGTGTAGGAATTACAACAGTTTGCATATGTGCCTCCCACTTATTAAGGGACCAAAAGTAATGGGACAATTGGCTTCTCAGCCGTTCCATGGCCAGGTGTGTGTTATTTCCTCATTATCCCAATTACAATGAGCAGATAAAAGGTCCAGAGTTCATTTCAAGTGTGCTATTTGCATTTGGAATCTATTGCTGTCAACTCTCAAGATGAGATCCAAAGAGCTGTCACTATCAGTGAAGCAAGCCATCATTAGGCTGAAAAAACAAAACAAACCCATCAGAGAGATAGCAAAAACATTAGGCGTGGCCAAAACAACTGTTTGGAACATTCTTAAAAAGAAGGAACGCACCGGTGAGCTCAGCAACACCAAAAGACCCGGAAGACCACGAAAACAACTGTGGTGGATGACCGAAGAATTCTTTCCCTGGTGAAGAAAAACACCCTTCACAACAGTTGGCCAGATCAAGAACACTCTCCAGGAGGTAGGTGTATGTGTGTCAAAGTCAATAAACAAGAGAAGACTTCACCAGAGTGAATACAGAAGGTTCACCACAAGATGTAAACCATTGGTGAGCCTCAAAAACAGGAAGGCCAGATTAGAGTTTGCCAAACGACATCTAAAAAAAGCCTTCAAAGTTCTGGAACAACAGCCTATGGACAGATGAGACCGAGATCAACTTGTACCAGAGTGATGGGAAGAGAAGAGTATGGAGAAGGAAAGGAACTGCTCATGATCCTAAGCATACCACCTCATCAGTGAAGCATGGTGGTGGTAGTGTCATGGCGTGGGCATGTATGGCTGCCAATGGAACTGGTTCTCTTGTATTTATTGATGATGTGACTGCTGACAAAAGCAGCAGGATGGATTCTGAAGTGTTTCGGGCAATATTATCTGCTCATATTCAGCCAAATGCTTCACAACTCATTGGACGCCGCTTCACAGTGCAAATGGACAATGACCCAAAGCAGACTGCAAAAGCAACCAAAGAGTTTTTTTAAGGAAAAAAGTGGAATGTTATGCAATGGCCAAGTCAATCACCTGACCTGAATCCGATTGAGCATGCATTTCACTTGCTGAAGACAAAACTGAAGGGAAAATGCCCCAAGAACAAGCAGGAACTGAAGACAGTTGAAGTAGAGGCTTGGCAGAGCATCACCAGGGATGAAACCCAGCGTCTGGGGATGTCTATGCGTTCCAGACTTCAGGCTGTAATTGACTGCAAAGGATTTGCAACGAAGTATTAAAAAGTGAAAGTTTGATTTATGATTATTATTCTCCCATTACTTTTGGTTCCTTAATAAGTGAGAGGCACATATGCAAACTGTTGTAATTCCTACACCGTTCACCTGATTTGGATGTAAATACCCTCAAATTAAAGCTGACAGTCTGCAGTTAAAGCACATCTTGTTTGTTTCATTTCAAATCCATTGTGGTGGTGTATAGAGCCAAAAATGTTAGAATTGTGTTGATGTCCCAATATTTATGGACCTGACTGTATATAATATATATATATATATATATATATCTAAAACAGTATATACTTCAATGTCAGTAGTTTTTTTGGTCTTGATACCTGCTTGGAGTTATATGGGTATCACAACACCAGACTTGTATGACACCACTAATGTAGAGGGACCTGAAATGTTGCGGACATAATCTAGACATCTTATCCATGGGCTAGACAGACATGATGTGTGGGTTCTAAACTGTATTTCATTAGGCTCTGTAAAAATTAGTTTTGATACCATTTCTAGCTCTGACCTTACTATAGCTGTGTAAATAAGGATATCAATGTCTTATGTGAGGAATGTACGGCCAGTGTGTGGGCTGTTTCAAGTGGTTTGGTTTTTGGATTTTAAACTGTTGAAAACATTAATAAAGTATTTTGGGGGAAAACAAAATGTGCCAAGTAACACTGCTAATTAGCTGTGCCGTAAATTAAATGTTCCAATTTTACGAAGTCAGTCATACTATCTTTACCATGGAGCTCTTTTTCTGAGCATTTAGAACAGGGGTTTCCAAACTGCGGCCCGGTGGCCAGATGTGGCCTTTTGCTTGCCTTTATCTGACCCTTGGGCCACCATTCCACCAACTGACACCAACGATGGGGCACCAGGCCACCTTCTGACACCATAAATGGGGCACTAATCTTCCCATTGATACCAACAATGTGGCTTAATTCTTTCCAATCAACGATGAGACTGATACATTTTCTACTTCCACTGACCACAGTCCAGCCCTCATAAAGCATGAAGGACAGTAAACTGTCCCTTTGCTTAAAAAGTATGGAGACCCCTGATTTAGAAGAATGGATAAAAAACGCTACTAAAATACCTGCATGAGTTATTTTATCAAGTCATTCGGTATGTTAGTAGTGAAAACCATTTGTTATTGTTTCAGCTGTCAGCGGGGTTCCCCACTGACAGCTGAATGTAAAAGAATTGCTGGCAATTAAAAAAAAAAATAATTTAAAAAAACGGCATGGGGTCCCCCTTCCATCCATATCAAGCCCGTATGGGTCTGGTATTGATTTTGAGGGGAATACCAATGCCAAAATTCTTTTAAAAAAATGGCGTGGGGGTCCCCCACAAAATCCATACTGGACATTCATCCGAGCATGCATCCCAGCAAGTCAGGAAAGGGGGGGGGGTCCTATCCAGCACTCGATGCCTCCATTGTCTGCATACCTCTCTGGGCCTCTCAGCTTACTCAGAGAGGCACACTGACAGATGTCCATGTGGAGAACTGCAAGTACTGGAAGGAGAGAGCCAGAGGAACTGACCGGTACAGCAGGGAGGCTCAGTTTTTCGTGGGAGAGCATTGCCTAACAGACATCCCAAAGCTCTCCTACCACTCTGCTACCTGGACAGGTTCTTCCTGCGTTAGCGTGTGCACGCTGCGTACCCCAGGAGCTGTGCACCTGTTCTTCACTCCAGGTCAGGATCTGCAGAAATCCCTGCCTTGCCAATCTCCGGCTTTCTCTTTCCAGTCGCATTGCTTTTCAATGGGCATTTGACAGGCAGTTACGAGGTGTTTATTGTCTCCTCGCTGCCTGATTTACCCATATAATGCCTCACTACCGTGCTGCAGTCAGTTGTGGCATGGTACCAACGGAACTCATCGGGTGAATTTGGCAAGTGTTGCTGCTTGTCAAACTCTGCATCCCAAGTTAAAAATGCTACAGGCACAGCATGAGAACAGCCCCGAATGGCTGTTAGTTTAAAGTTTGTGTGGGTGGTAAAACTAAAGCTCTGCCTTATCCGCCCCCCCCGACTGTCCATCTGAAAGAGACCTATTCCATGAGCAGTTGTTTTTATAAATAATTTTGCATAAACATAGAAAACAAATTAAATTCAGCCCTCCGCAACACTGCTTAGTTTTCTCATGTAGCCCTTTGGGAAAACAAATTCCCACCCTGGCTTAGACAAACAATTGCAGTAACTTCCTCAAAAGTAGTAATAAATACTGAATAATAAAGTCCTTGTCCTGCATTCACTTCATAAGTGTTTTGTTATGTTTTGGGTGTTGTATTCAATATGTGCAAAGAGAGATCACACACATATTTAAAAGTATAACATTTATTACACGTAATGACAGATACTGATAAGGATAGAGAAAATATAACAAGAATACTTAAGTAAAGATGCTGTTTCCGCCACAGGTTCCTCCATTATATGGCATGGCACACAGGTGACCACAGACTCATGCATATTTAAGCTCTGACACGAGACAAATATTTCCAGTCTAGCTGTTATATACTGGACTTGTGTGTAAGCAATCGACAACCCACCCCCCCCATGCAAACAACAATGAATTTCTAGGAAAGCTAGCATATTCCTGAAAGGAAAGTAGTGGTCTGACTTGGCTTGTCCAAATAGTCACATTCCTTTGTTATTTAAGGTAATCAGACCTTGTCCTTGTGTAACCATTTAATCAAGGCTTGAAGGCATTCCTAAACATTTGTGAGGCCAGCAATAATAAGAAAATATGTAATTTGCAAAATTCCCAATTAATAAGTGAATCACACGATCTGGAAAGGAGGTTTCTGGGGGTATTCTTGTACACAGTGTTGCCTTAGTTTTTTATATATATTTGGCAAAAATTGCACCTGGGAAGACCTGCAGAGTTCCTCAATTTCTTAATGGTATAATTTTACTAAAATGTGTCCTTCCATCAAAAAATGTATCACTTTAATTTCTAACTGTGTCTTGTTCTGCCAAGTGTGTTTGTCACAATTTTTTAAACCTTCTCTGTTGACATATGTTTGATATGGACAGTTAGCCATCTTCTTCAGTTAACTGCTTGGGAGTCCAGGCTGTTTTCTCCTTAAATCCCCAAGTTTTCTCCCATTTCTGTGAAGTCTCATTTCCACACATATCTTTTACGTTTTTTTAGTCTAAGCTAACATATTATAAATAGTTTTTTGGGGACAGATAGGGCTTTGATTTGGTAGCAAATTTGGATATATACATTTTTATTTTCTTGGTTTTAGGAATGATAGTGCAAAAACATTAGACAAAATTGCATTTTCCTGTTATTTTTCTCAAAAGCAACATTTATGTAATTTGCATGGGGCATTCTGTAGAAGCATCAGAAGCCCTGGGCTTTATGCCGAACCCAAACTGTCACTGACAGCTGGTGGTTGTAGTGCTAGTGCTGATGGGGACCTTCGGGAGCTACTGAGACCAGAGCTGTTTTAAATCGCACTTGAACGAATAGCTGCTAATCCCAGCACCATTTTAAAGTGGCAGCTGGGACTCAAGTGGTTAAACAAAGGACTTTTCTATTTACATAAAAGCTTCTGGTGGTATGTATTAACTTGATTTGATGGAAAGTAAAATCCATCTTTTGATGCAAGTCCTTTTGATGTGAACTCTACTTTTTAATAGTGTTTTATGGAGGAAAGCTTGTCAAGCTGAAATCTATGTACTGCTTTGGGTTGTATAGAGTTTTTTTTTTTTTTTTTTTTTTTTATATTCACCATTTTTGTAGCAATTGCAAACAGATGGGAAGGAATTATGCTTCACCAGTCCATATGCTTATTTGCTTTTATATACAGTACATACTTTATATTAGGGTAAGCAAAATGTTGCCATTAAAGCTGAATTGTGGGCCAAAAAAGTTTTCCTTTGCAGTGGGGCTATGCCCACATTGCAAGGGTTAATTGCTCGTTTTTTGTCTAGGGGAGGAATGAAGGGACATATACAGTACTTACCTGATCCTCCCTGCACAAAACCAGACCCTGCAGCTCTTGCTCCCCCATGCTCTAGTGGACTGTTCCTGACATCTTCAAGACCAACGCAGGCTCCATAGACCTACTGTGGACATGAAAACAATCCACCACTGGATCACCTGGCAGCGGTGTCCATCGGTGGAGTAGAGGATCAGGTGAGTAGAAGTGCTTTTCCTCCCACTTGGACAAAAAAAAAGCACATAACCCTTGCAGTGCCAGTGCAGCCCCACTGCAAGGGATAATTGTTTTTTTTTTTTTTTTTCTGCCCAGAGTTGGGCTTAACAGTTTATTTTCCTGGAGCTATGTTAAGAACCTGCCAAATATTTATTGCTATGAATTTATGGCCTATTTAATATATAATTATGGTGTTATGATCAAGATAGTGATTGTAATGTGCCTTTCTTGCCTGTAGATGTTTGTGCCTCACACAGCATCCCCACATATGTTACGTGGCACCCTGTTGAAGATGATACATTTGCTTGTGGTAAGATGAGTTGTTTTTTTTTTGTGTGTTTAACATGTGAAGAACAGTTCTTGTATGGAGTGATACCTTCACTAAAATAAAATGTATCTCTGCTATGGTGTAGAAACAATCTGTGCCCATCATTTCTTTTAGTATGTCAGTAGTTGGACTGTCCTCTGTAGCATTACTTATACTGAACATTATGCATGACTATGGTGATTACATGAGCCAAAGTTTATGCCTTCTATACTTCCTTAAGCTAGGTTCACATCTCCTGCGGGCCGTTTTTTGCGAGGGCACGAGAGACCATTCATTTGAATGGACTCCCGTACCCTGGGACATGCAGGGAAGAATTCCCTGCACTTCGGAAAACGCAGCCCGCACGGGATCCTCTGTTCCCAGTACGGTTGCGATTCTCAGTGCGGGCAGCGTGCCATTTGAATTAATGGCACCCGCCCGTGGGTCTGCATTCCTCTGTGCAGGTGGTGCGGCTGCACAGATTTGTGTGCGGGTCTGCAACGCAACCACCCACACAGATGTGAACCAGGGGTACGTTAACCACTACTGCTCTAAATTTGCCATTGGTAAAGGAATTAATTTCAGCAAGTTAAAATAAAACATTGGTCAGATAGAAATATACCCTGTAATACAGCTCCAACATTTTGTAAACAAAACAGTACTTGTTTGTATAAATGTTGCAAGCAGTGTCTGTTTTGTACCTTAGATTCCAGTGTCTGATGGCTTGCAGATCTACTTCCTTTTATACGGTAACAATGCAGCATCACCTCCATGCAAACAGATGCATTGTCACCATTTACGTTGTGCCTTTCTATAGTGGTACGTAAATGCACAGTGGTGGTGTCCGATTGGAGACTAGTGTTGAGGAGTAGTAAGCCCTAGCTTGTCAATCATTGTAAAGGCCATGCCTATGCCCTACCCACCCACTGTATGTATGCTGAGATGCAGTTTACTCCCGGAGACATAGCAGTAAGCACAGAATTTCATAAATGGTGCTAGCTCTGTATAATGTCTTTCAATGCCAATAACCGATTCTTTGAAAGAATGCACAAGGCTAAAGGTGGACTATAAATGCTTACTGAGGTAGGAATACTTTTTAAGCAAAAATTAAGCTTCATCTAGAACTTTCATGGGGTTTACGGGTGTAAAACTAAACAGAGTTGCTGTCTTTAGTTACACTTTCATGTACATTCCAATAGGTAGCTCTTATAAATGAGCTTGGGCTTCCTCAGCACTCCTCTAACCCCAACTCCCACTTTTTTGCACTCCAGCGGAGCTATGGGCCAGGCCATTCCTCATCCCTCAACTTCTCTCTAGTAGTTAGTTAGACATGTCACTAGATGGAAGGAATGAGGACCGCCTTAGAGCAGATTTGCAAGGTAGCAGTTTGTGTTGCTACAGAGCAATGTGCTTACATGCAAAGACCTTGCCTTTATCTTTCCTAGGTAGTACTAAGGCAGAAATAGGACTTTCTCAAATAAACCATCTATTCTTGTGTTTCCTGCCTGGTTAGTGTAATGGTCCAAATGTGAAATGTGCCAGCTGGTGTAGTGGAAGGTTAGCATCTAGCTCCCTTTGTCAACAATAAAGTGAAATGTTCTCTCTTGTTTTTTTTAAACAGCTAACATGTCATGTTTACCTTCTCTGTGCAATGGTTTTGTACAGAGCAGTCCTGATCTTCCCCTTCTCAGGTCCCCCACTGGTGCTCCTAGCCCCCCCCCCCCCCCCCCCCCCCCCCCCCCCCCCCCCCCCCCCCCCCCCCCCCACACACACACACACACACACACACACACACACACACACACACACACACACACACACACACACACACACACACACACACACACACACTGAGTGCCCATCATAACAAGCTGCTTGTTATGTGGGTAACCAAGCATGCCTACTCCCAAACTGGCTTTGTGTATCCAGACACATAGTACGGCTCTGCCCCTCTCCCTCTTCATTGGCTGTGATTGATAGCAGCTCCTGCTGCTGTACCTGAGCCAGTGAGGCGGAAAGAGAGCTTCTGTTCTAATGCATATCGCTGGATCAAGATCAGGCTCAGGTAAGTATAAGGGGGGCAAGGGTGGGGGGCTGAAGCTGCATGCTGAAGGTTTTTGACCTTCGTTCAGAGAATGCATTAAGGTAAAACACCTCCATACTTTAGAACCACTTTAACTATTTTTAATCCTTATGCTGCTAGCCTTAGTAAATAGGTGGGATGATTACAGTTGCTTCCTGGTTTCTGGCCTAGGCCAAAATGATGTCATGTCTCAGGAGTCTTCATGGGCATTTTTTTTCTTTCATGGGGAGGAGGGGCTTTCTCAGCTATTCGCACCCTTCTGCATGCATGCCTGAGGTAAGGGCAGGTGGATTCCAGGAAGTAAATACATGAATCATCTGCCGTTACTCAGGATTGCCAGGGCTAGAAATACTAGGGAGGTGTTTTTCAAAATGATTTCTCAACAAAATATAGTATGGATACATGAATTAGTGGGTTTGCTTTGCATTTTAAAAATTAATTTAGCGTTTTGGGGTTTGTGGTGCTCAGCTACAGTTTAGTTCCTCTTTAATATAGGAATGTTTCCAAAGTAATAGAAATCGCAGAGATGTGACATGACTGCTTCCCAGGTATAAAGATATAGTTTGTAGCACATTTGTGTATTTGTCATAGTACATGTGTATTTGTCATGGGTGTATGTAGGTAACCGTTATATTATATGGGAAAGTGCCAACTTATGGATTCTGATAGCAGGAAAGTCATGGCTTTTTACATTTCTTTTCACAGGTGATGAGAATGGAAATATTTATGTTGTAAATTTAAAGAATTCAGATTCAGCCCAGACAGCGTCCATACATTCCAGACCAATTACAGGACTGGCCTATTCAAATCACAGGTAAAACCACCACCTCGCTGGCCTAGATTTTTCTTCTTGATTTTTGCTTTCCATTGAAGTTGCAAAGTTTAGGGTCTTATGTTCTAATTTCCATTAACCCATTTGCTGCCAGGTCCTTACGTCGTACCTGACTGTGGGGGGTTTTACACAAAATCCATGGGCTGCAGCCACCGGGATTGTAAGTATAACGGACAGGCAGAAGCATTCGGGCAGCTGTGTTGCCGCCCGATTGCTTCCACACATCCCTGGTAACTGCGCCCCCAGCCATGTATTCTTAGCTCTGCTTTCCCATCTGCGGGCCCTGGACCAACATGGCAGTGCCATGGGCAGAGGGAAGGGATGCTTTCCTCCCCTTTTTAGTGCTGTTACCCGGAAAGCGACGTGTATAACATCACTTTTGGGTCACCTGTCACTTCCCCAGCAAGCATAGCCGGAGAGGATTGTATTGCAATGCGATCTGCATTGCAATACATTCAGTGGAGCCTAGAGGAGACATGCAGGGTCTTTGAGATTCTGCATGTCACATTAAAGAGAACCTGTCACCAAAAAACGTAAATGCAGGTATTAGGGGAGCCTACACGTGAAAACATCAGTTGCGGTACACGTTACATATCGCCACACGCTGGAGTATGAGCAATAATTCTATTACAAGACCTCCTCCATAACACTAAACTGATGACCTGTAGGGGCTTTTGAAGCATCACCAATAGAAAATATAGGGTACTGAAATTTGTTGCCATTTCATGGGCATACACAAATTTAAGGTTTGACATGTTGGATATTTATTCACGCAGTGCAGCCTTGTCTTTTTATATTTTACCAAATAATTGGGTAGTTTATTGCGTTTGTGTACCCTAAAATTAACTAGTGTGTTTTACTCAAATTTTGCATTGTCTAGACCTTTGGGGTAATATCGTGTAATCTTAAATTGGAAATATCACCATTTTATTCTATTGTGTAGGGGAGTCAAACTGGCGGCCCTCCTGCTGTTGCCAAACCAGAAATCCCATGAGGCATTGCAAGGCTGACCGATACAAGCATGCTTGGGGTTTTGTGTAATCTTCAGACCTAAAATGATTTTTTAAATGTGTGCAATATGACTCTGGCAGCAAAAAAGTTAAACCCCATGCACACATTAGCTTTCTCATATGCTGTGCAGACATTGTCAGTGTATCCCTAGAACTAGCCTGCTTGAATATCATGCTGTTATGTAAGAGTGAAACATTCTGAACCACTAGTAGCTGTTCAATTCATTATTAATACACATTATGCAATACAGTGTCTTTATGTTTTTTTTTCATCAAGCTTTTAGACTTTGTATTTGTAAGAAGAAATATCCTACCAACCAGAACTCATGATGACAATTTCTAGAACATAAAGCCATAAAAGGGTTAAAGCCCAACTTCACAAACCATTAATGGTTCAGTATTGTGTAGAATCCAATTTAAGAAAGCTAGCTGGTAATTCCTGAGCTCTGGTAGTGACGTCCATTGTCAGTGATTTGCAAATTACTTTGACATCTCTCTTTATCTCCAACCTGCTTAACCATGAATAATACGCAAAGCCTATAACCTAGAACAATTCTAAGTGTAATCTGTATAAAAATGGTTGACAAACAGCACATTTTTTTAAATCTGATTTTAGCTCTCCATTGCTGGCTTCAGTCAGTGAAGATTGCTCAGTTGTGGTCCTTAATTCTGAATCTTCAGTAATGTAAGTATGTTGTACTAAAATTGCTTTGCAAAGCGAAGACACTCTTCTACTTTAACCACTTGCCTAACGGGAACTTTTACCCTCTTCCTGCCCAGGCCAATTTTCAGCTTTCATCGCTGTCGTGATTTTAATCACAATTGCGCGGTTATGCAACACTGTTCCTAAACAAACGTTTTATCATTTTTTTTTGAGACAGAGCTTTCCTTTGGAGGTATTTAATCACCACTGGGTTTTTATTTTTTGCTAAACAAACTAAAGACTGAAAATTTTGAAACAAAAAAGTTTTTTTTCTTAGTTTCTGTTATAAAATTTTGTAAATAAGAAATTTTTCTCCTTCACTGATGTGCGCTAATGAGGCTGGAGTGATTGGCACTGATAGGTGGCACTGATGAGAAGACACTGATAGGTGGCATTGAGAGGCATCACCTGTGGGCATTGACAGACATCACTGATGGGCACTGAAAGTCAGCACTTATATATGGCACTGATAGGCAGCACTGACAGACCCTGTTAGGCGGCACTGAAAGGCAGTTCTGATGGGCAACGATGTGTGTGCACTGGTAGGCACTGATATGTGGCATTGATGGGCATTGGTATGTGGCACCAATTGGGCTACACTGATCATCAGGGCACTAATCATCAGTGAATAAAGGGGAGAGAACAATGTTCTTGGGCAACTTGCCAGCCAGCTTGCTAACAACCGAATTAACCTGTCTAACAGTATGCGTTTATAACAGGGGTTTAGTTAGCACACATTTGCAAATACATACGTAAGCCACAGAGCCACGACACGGCACCCTGGTAATCTGTGGTCCTAACTCTAAAATTTGTGAGTCCCCATAGTAGAGGCACATGCATTTAATGGATAGATCCTTTATTCACTATGTGATGCCTGTTTATGTGTCCTTGCTTCATAAGCCAGTTATAGACTTGGGCGGGTGGCCACTTTTATGCACTAATCATCAGTGCCCTGATCAGTGTAGATGTCCCCTATGAGGAATGCCGATTACCGGCTCTCCTCACAAGCTGTCAACGGGAGGAGAGGACTGCCGATAACTGGCATTTCCTATTTACGTGTGATCAGCTGTGATTGGACACAGCTGATCACATGACAGAGCCGATGTTATCGGCTCTTTACAGTAATCGGTGATCCGCTGTGTCCCAGGGATACAGCGCACTACCGATTTGCCGCGCGCCCTTGAGGCGTGCATGTGCAGCTAAAGTGGGAGGGCACCATATGACGTTCTCCCAGAAGGAGAGAACCCACCGCTAGCCTTCATTTCCTTATATGGCAGGCTGAAGGGGGTTGAGGAAGGGGCTCTGGATTGTACAGTCAGGTCCATAAATATTGGGACATCGACACAATTCTAACATTTTTGGCTCTATACACCACCACAGTGGATTTAATATTAAACGAACTAGATGTGCTTTAAGTGCAGACTGTCAGCTTTAATTTGAGGGTATATACATCCAAATCAGGTGAACGGTGTAGGAATTACAACAGTTTGCATATGTGCCTCCCACTTGTTAAGGGACCAAAAGTAATGGGACAGAATAATAATCATAAATCAAACTTTCACTTTTTAATACTTGGTTGCAAATCCTTTGCAGTCAATTACAGCCTGAAGTCTGGAACGTATAGACATCGCCAGACGCTGGGTTTCATCCCTGGTGATGCTCTGCCAGGCCTCTACTGCAACGGTCTTCAGTTCCTGCTTGTTCTTGGGGCATTTTCCCTTCAGTTTTGTCTTCAGCAAGTGAAATGCATGCTCAATCGGATTCAGGTCAGGTGATTGACTTGGCCATTGCATAACATTCCACTTCTTTCCCTTAAACTCTTTTGGTTGCTTCTGCAGTATGCTTTGGGTCATTGTCCATCTGCACTGTGAAGCGGCGTCCAATGAGTTCTGAAGCATTTGGCTGAATATGAGCAGATAATATTGCCTGAAACACTTCAGACTTCATCCTGCTGCTTTTGTCAGCAGTCACATCAGCAATAAATACAAGAGAACCAGTTCCATTGGCAGCCATACATGCCCACGCCATGACACTACCACCACCATGCTTCACTGATGAGGTGGTATGCTTAGGATCATGAGCAGTTCCTTTCCTTCTCCATACTCTTCTCTTCCCATCACTCTGGTACAAGTTGATCTTGGTCTCATCTGTCCATAGGATGTTGTTCCAGAACTGTGAAGGCTTTTTTAGATGTCGTTTGGCAAACTCTAATCTGGCCTTCCTGTTTTTGAGGCTCACCAATGGTTTACATCTTGTGGTGAACCCTCTGTATTCACTCTGGTGAAGTCTTCTCTTGATTGTTGACTTTGACACACATACACCTACCTCCTAGAGAGTGTTCTTGATCTAGCCAACTGTTGTGAAGGGTGTTTTCTTCACCAGGGAAAGAATTCTTCGGTCATCCACCACAGTTGTTTCCGTGGTCTTCCTGGTCCTTGGTGTTGCTGAGCTCACTGGTGCGTTCCTTCTTTTTAAGAATGTTCCAAACAGTTGTTTTGGCCACGCCTAATGTTTTTGCTATCTCTCTGCTGGGTTTGTTTTGTTTTTTCAGCCTAATGATGGCTTGCTTCACTGAAAGTGACAGCTCTTTGGATCTCATCTTGAGAGTTGACAGCAACAGATTCCAAATGCAAATAGCACACTTGAAATGAACTCTGGACCTTTTATCTGCTCATTGTAATTGGGATAATGAGGGAATAACACACACCTGGCCATGGAACAGCTGAGAAGCCAATTGTCCCATTACTTTTGGTTCCTTAACAAGTGGGAGGCACATATGCAAACTGTTGTAATTCCTACACCGTTCACCTGATTTGGATGTAAATACCCTCAAATTAAAGCTGACAGTCTGCAGTTAAAGCACATCTTGTTCGTTTCATTTCAAATCCATTGTGGTGGTGTATAGAGCCAAAAATGTTAGAATTGTGTCGATGTCCCAATATTTATGGACCTGACTATATTATAATTTTATGAGGAGCTTTTATTAGCCATTGCACTGGACTGTACCACAGGAGTGCTTCCAAAAGCATTTTAGTTCTTTGAGCACAATTTGTATTTACCTGGCCTAAGAGGTAAATGATAAAATATCTAACAGGAGGAAGATGTTAGATTTGAGAGGAGCATTTAATTTGCAAGTGCATAAAACCAAATTGCCATGCTTGACAACAGAAGGAATGTATTAAAATACTTTGAATTAATAAAAAGGTACATGCAGTTACATACAAAAACAACCCTAGGGTGCTTGTGCCTCTAGCAGTCTTACACATGAAAAAAAATGTAAATGCTTAAGGTGTGTGCATATGTATGTACTTTCCTCTCTGTTCAACTATTCTACGCAGTTATTTAAATATGGTAGGGGAACAGCCATAAATATAATTATCTTTTATGTTTGAAATATTGATACACATGATTAAACTTGCATGCCTATTACCTTAGGAAAGTGTCGCCCTGTGTTTGTTAGTATTTAATTTTCTAATGTAATTTCAAGGGTGTGGAATTTTTTTTTTTTTTTTAAAAACGACTAGTCTGAGGAACTAAATCGGGGGTCCCAATCTACTTGTCCCTCATGACAATGTGATAAAAAAAATATAATTTTAATCAAAACCATATTTAAACAAGGTTTTAACATTGTGCTGTTTATCTCCTGCTCACCTCCCTGCCTGTCTCCAGCACCACACCCAGGGACTAGCAGAGAGGGGAGAGACCTTGCAGTGTAACAAGCACCGATTGGGTGCTCATCAGGAAAGGGGCGTGTCAGGCTCTCTTAACACTCAGCAGAAGCGCTATCTGCTGAGCGAGTAAAATGAAGTGGCGGCTTCAACGAGGAAAACAAAAAAGATTTCATCCTTCAAGTTACCCTCGCACATGGAATCACTTGGGTGATCAGTACAAACGCATGCTGAGCAGTCAAATCAAGCTCTGGTGTCCGCTCCGTGAGACTCCATTCACGGGTGGACGTCTTGGGATCACAGCAGAATCGATCTCAAATGTATTTATTAAATTCACAAAATGCAGGTTCAGGTGCCATTATTTATGGCACCTAAAACAGTGTGGTTTTGCCACTATTGTGTGGCAATCACACCACGTGAAGGTTGTCACCCAAAAGAAGTTCCTGGTCCTTTCTGGTCGAAAAGCTTCACACAATGCAATTTTCTGCGTTTTCCACGAAACAATTGAGGTAAATCTGCACCACGTTTTAGATGCCATTAAAAATAGATTTGCGATTTGTAATGCGTTTTGAGATTGCAAGCAGAATCACAGCGATTCTGCCTCGATCCCAAAATGCCCAGGTGTTAATGCAGCCTTTGTCCCAGTTCAGACTGATGCGGATCAGATACGATCCGAAAGGCATAGATCCGCATGGCATCTGAAAAGTCATTATTTCTATGAAGGGCATATAAAGGACATCCAGTGGTGCGATTTTTTTATTCCCCCCCCCCCCCCCCCCCCCGGTTAACAAAGGTTCTGTGTGAGTTTGGAGCTGGCTTTCCATAGCTGTGGAAGGAATGCGTTTTTGTACAGAAGAGGATAGACTGCATTTCTAGCATATGAAGGCAGATTGAAAATCACAGCAGTACTAAATTCGCATTGAACAAACTGCTAAACTACCTTTGACAATTTCACTGAAAACTGACATGAAAAGCACACTGAATAAAGTAAACCTTTGTGCTTGGCTAAGGCTTGATTCACACTTGTGTGACTTTGGCATCCAAGTCGCATGACAACTCCCAGCCGATTTTATTTTCAATGGTGCCCATTCAAATCTGTGCAATTTAAAGTTGCAGAAACTGTGAAAAGGTGCCTGCACTACTTTGGTACTATTTTTGATGCAACTTTTGGTAAAGTGGATCAAAGTTGCACCAAAATTGTGCTCCAAATTCGCACTGGAAATCGTGAATGGAGCCTAAATGTAAAAAAAAAAAAAAACACTGGCCTGGCGCCCAGAACTACATGTCCCGTGCATCAGGCAATATGATTTGCGCATCCCTGAAATTACCTGAGTGTGTATAAAAAAAAAAAACCTAGTATTCACTGCAACCATTGTTAATTTTGAGTGTATTGTCTAGCAGGCACCATATACCGTATTTTTCACTCCATAAGACGCACCTGACCATAAGACGCACCTAGATTTTAGAGGAGGAAAACAAGAAAAAAAATATTCGGAACCAATGGACTGCAGACACAGTACAGGCGATGGCCAGAGTTTGCAGACACAGTACAGGAGATGACCAGAGACTGCGGACACAGTACAGGCGATGGCCAGAGACTGCGGACACAGTACAGGCGATGGCCAGAGACTGCGGACACAGTACAGGCGATGGCCAGAGACTGCGGACACAGTACACTGCGGCAGTACAGGCGATGGCCAGAGACTGCGGACACAGTACAGGCGATGGCCAGAGACTGCGGACACAGTACAGGCGATGGCCAGAGACTGCGGACACAGTACAGGCGATGGCCAGAGACTGCGGACACAGTACAGGCGATGGCCAGAGACTGCGGACACAGTACAGGCGATGGCCAGAGACTGCAGACCTTTGGGGAGTGGGGGCGGGTACCTGAATTGGACAGGTACCCGCTCCCACTTCCGCGGAGTTGTCATCCCCGTAGTCTTGTGGGACACGTGCCAGGTCCCACAAGACTACATGGCCATTTACAAAGCACAGCGCTTCTCGTGCATGCGCAGTGGGCACCCAGCTGTGAAGCCGCAAGCTGTCACAGCCGGGTGCCCACACTGAAGATGCCGGGGAAAGAAGGTGGCAGGTGAAAGTAGGACACCGCTGGACCATGGAACAGGTAGAATCGAGGAGCAGGTTCTTCTGCACAGTAGAGCCAACAGCCGGCCCGGTATTCTAACATGGCTACGGCGGAAATACCGGGCCCGCTGCTACATAAGATGCACAGACATTTTCCCCCATTTTTGGTGGGGAAAAAAGTGCGTTTTATGGAGCGAAAAATACGGTATTTAGTGTATATAAGCTTTCTGCAATGGTGAAATGTGAAAATGAAGAAACTTAATTTTGTATATGTATTTACACTGTTTTTTTTTTTTTTTTCTTTCCTTTTTTCCTATACAGCTTCAAAGATGAATCTCACCGTGATTTCGTAACAGGTGTGGCATGGTCACCAGTCAGTGTTGATAGTTTCACAACAGTGGGATGGGATCACAAAGTTCTTCATCACAGCATCCCAAAGGAGAACAATCCAGAGCCCAAAGCTGAGGAAAAAGCTTAATGTTTATACCTGCAAAGTGTACAGCTGTTATTGATGAATGTAAAACTTAGTATGCTTTCCTTAGATACAGACCTAGGTCTAGTCTACATTGCTCGTTTGTGTCATTTTCTGCCATATTGGCAGAGAATGGATCAAAAAAATGAATAGCACCCCACCCATGTTTTTGTGTATTGCAGATAACCTGCTAATTAAAGGAGTTTACCAGTGTTTTAAAAATATGTTTTCTGCTCCTTACTTTTTTGTTTAGTAATGCTCCATATTCACCCATACTTGTAATTAACAGCAGAACACTCTTCATGTTGGAGGTCTAAAACCTCTCTCTGTCACATTTTTTTAACAAAGAACTGTTGAACACAGGTTTCACCAACAGGTGTCACTGCAGGCAGAGTTATGGAAAACATTGGTAGAGTGGAGTCACTACTGTGCTGAGGTCTTCTGAGCAGTTAACATATGTTTCAAAATCCTGTAGCTACCTTAACAATTGTTTTTCTGTTTTATTGCATTTACATGTATTTTTTTTTTAAATGTAAACAGTGGTTATTTATCGTTGTATTCTCTTTTCTTCGTTATATTGTCATTTTGTAAACATTTCATTTTGCGTTGCTGTAATAACATTTTGGAAAGTAAAAGAATAAATGCCCTGTTCTCATAATCTTCCACTGTAATGAACCTTCAAATACTATCCTCTTCACAACTTGCATATTTAAAGTGTTCCTAACCCACAACAGTAAAATCAGTCTGTATATGCAGTAAAGCATACTTGTTATGCTCACTGTGGAACCTAAGGGGTTAATCCTCTGCATTGTGTAAAAATGCTGTTTGATTCTGACTTCTCTGATCCTCCCCTTCTACTGTCCCCAATCCATCTGCTGAAAGAACAGAGCCTTGAGGGCAAGCTGCACATTCTCAGTTTGGTGTATATTGCTAAAGAAGTTTTTTTTTAGGGAGAGTGCATGTGATCAGCACAGGGACAAATAAGCACTGTCCAGACAGAGGCAAGGGGTCCTGCATCTTCCTAGAGCAAAATGAAAACTTCTCTTACAAGCTTTAGTATGTGCTCAGTATGTGTACTGTGGAAGCCTAGATATAGTGAATGCAGGGGCATGGGTTTAGTGACACTTTAAAGCAGGGGTCTCCAAAAATTTAGAACAAAGGGCCAGTTTACTGTCTCTCAGCCTTTTAGGAGGGCCAGATTGTGGGCTGTAGGAGTAGCAAATGTCCCGGGCCCAGCAACAGTGAAAATAAACATGGCCTCCGGATTGGTGGTCAGTAGGAGGAAGAGTAGTGCCTCATCATTGGTATTACTGGGAGAAATTGTACCCCATTGTTGGCATCAGTGGAAAGAATAGTACCCCATGGGCCCGATAAAGGCTAGCAAAGGGCCACAGTTTGGAGACCCCTGCTTTAAAGCATGAGTTCATCTATTAATAATAAAAAAAAAAAAAAAAAACCACACTGCTGTTCCATATGGGTATAGCAGCATAGCGTGCTAAACCAACCTTCCAGCCAGGGCTCTCTTTTTCAGTTTAAAGAATGTAGTCAAAAACTGCATCATGGTAAAGCAGCTCTGTGAGTCACATTTGCGCAGGCATGGCAACCCATTTATTTCAGTGGGATGTTGTGCCTGCATTTCATGCAGGAAAAAAGTTCTTCCACCTTTTTTTAAAATGCAACCACAGGGAAATTGCATAATACTTTTTCACCATGCGATTTCTGAAAATGTGCTGCGTGTTCAGATACGAGGGGATGCCATTAATGCTAGGTTCACATTTGTGTGAGTGGTTCACGCTGAAGGGTCCGCAACTTTTCCCGCAGCCGCAACTACCCGCATAGAAAAGCACAGGAGCTGTGTGTGGATGCCACATTAATGCTAATGGAATGCCACATGCTCTGGAAATCGCTCCTGCACTGGGAACTACACAGCGCTTGCGGTCCCTGTGCCGGATGCGATTTTTAAAGTGCTGCATGAACCTTTTCCCTTTGTTCCAGGAGGCACAACAGCTCATTCAAATGAATGGAGGGCCGTGCCCATGCAAACTGCAGCTTGCACAACCAAGTAGATGTGGACCTAACCTAAGAAATAATGGCAACCTCATGCATCTGCAAAAGATCAGCATGATTTGACTGTGTGTGCCCGTGTTGTGCATTCTTTTTGCGGGTGCAGGAAATGCATCAGTTCCTGCAGCCGAATCAGGCCGTTCTTGTGAGACGTGCAGGGCTGCCATCCATTCTTAATAGCACCCCATGCATCTCAGCCTGCAGCACGATCATGGATATGGGGAAACCACATGGTCAAAAAGGTCATGCGGTTCCCCTGTGGCTGCGTTTTTAAAAAGGTGCATGCACCTTTTTTGTGTGGAATCTGCGGGTCGCACTGCCCACAGTAGTGTGAAGCAGGTGTAAAGGAAGCTTCAAAATTCCAAGATAAAAACATAAATAAGATACTCTAGCTGTCCAGTGCAATTTGCATACAGGACCGGAAACTCTAGACAAGAGGAAACTTACAAAATCTACATGAAAATTATTACAGCCCCCCAGTCTCCTCCCAGCCCTGTTGTATCTGTGTCCCAAGCCTTGGCCTGCTCACTATGCTGTGATTCTCAAGCTTCTTCTCTATTGGATAATATGATGGAGGCTATATTTCTCAGCCAAAGCAATGGTATGGAACCTGATCTTGATAGCCCTGAGAATTCGCCGACACTCCCTCCAGCTCCACCACAGTGTTTGGGAGATGCAACCCTTATTGCTCGTTTTGCTGACCTGTTGCAACGAGAATTGGATAGAGCTACTACTAAAGTAGCGGATCTGAAACAAGATTTTCAAGAATTGGGCTAACGTCTTGATAGTATTGCATCTAAAGTTGATCGACAGTCCATAATGTGTCCCAAAACTCGATATGATTACCGATTTGCAGGATAGATTGGATGAAGCTTACTCTAAAATTGATGATCTAGAGAACCGGGCCAAACGTTACAATTTCTGTATTCGGGGGCTCCCAAAATCAATCAAAGGGCTTACTAGCCTTGCTCAATCCCTCATGCGATCCACGATGCCTGAAATTGATGATCTTCATACAGAGATTGATTGTATTCGTAGGGCACTGATCCCCCCCTAGACCAAGCGGGGCTCCTAGGGATGTTATTGTCCGTATTTTTTCGGGTCAAGGAAGCTGTTATGAAATATGGTAGAGTAACTCCGGAGCTAGAACTCGTGGGACATAAAATACAAATCTTTGCGGATGTTTCTCCGACCACCATCCAGAAATGGAGATCCCTCAAGCCATTACTTTCCCACTTGGTACGGCGGGATATCCGCTATCGGTGGGCCTGCCCTTTCCGGCTTCAGTTTACCTACAATGGAAAACCTTATGTGTTCTCTACATTTCAAGAAGGTGAAGAACTCCTGCTTCAATTGGGTATCATTTCCCACAGTCCTTTATCTTATTCTCCATCGGGAGCTACTTCTCGTCCTCCGCCGCTTTTGCCATTGTGGCTTGCTTCAACTTCCAGGAAGACGAAATCGCATAGAAAGACTACTTGAGGTTTTTCTTTTAGGCTTTTGGGCTTTATAATTTTTCCAATTTTTATGTGTGGTGGCTTCTCAGTGGTTCCCTTGGGAACATTAGCTGCCACTGTTAGGCTGTTAAAAGGAATTTTTTTTTTATATATATATATATATATATATATATGGCTGTTTGTACTATTGTGATCTTTATTTCTGCTGATATTGGTTCTTGTGGGGTTCCAGTTATATTAATGTTGACATTATGCTGATTTTATTTTTTTGTGTCAGGGGGTGTCTATGGGCCCTCCCAGATTTGGGAAGACTCTCCCCTGAGATAGTTCTCTGGGTAGACTCCTTCCTTTTACAGTGCTTTAGTCCTGACATTCCTGGTTTATTTTTCTGTTTCGCTTGTGTTATAATGTGTAATACCAGATGTTGCTTGACACGAGGATTTGAATACTCCTTGTGTCTTCTTTTCTCTTCTTTTTTTTATGTTTTCTTTCCTTTTTTTTTTTATCTGAGGGTCAGCCGTCCTTGCTATTGGTTAATCCTGATTTCTCTCATGCTCTGGGAGTGGATAGCTCTCGCCGACTATAGGTATTGATCATGTCTCCCAAACGGTCTGACACAGTGGTTATCCGATTGCTCTCTCATAATGTCCAGGGGTTCAACTCTCCTTCCAAACGTATTAAGGCCTTTAATTCATACTGCTCTTTAGGTGCGGATATCGTAGCCCTTCAAGAGACAGGTTTTCCCCCTTCTTTTACCCCATGGTATGTCCACAAAGATTATCCTCTTTGTTATTTTGCTAATGCCACAGAGAAGAAATAAGGGGTAGCCCTTCGTTTGTCCCGCCGTTTGTCGTTTACTGAATCTAAAATTATTAGGGATTGGGAGGGACTCTGTCTTCTGGTGAAAGGTCACTTGGGCGGAAACCTGCTCACTTTTTTGATATACTATGCTCCAAATATTAGTCAGGTGGAGTTCTTTCATTTTTTTATTGAGCTCTTTGGCCTCAGAGCTTGAGGGCGATGTTATTTTGGCTAGCATTAGATCAGCTACTGGATCAATCCCATACCGTCATGCTTAAATCCCCTTCTAGGCAGAGCCATAAGTTTGCCCAGCTCTTATATTGCTATGATCTCGCCGATGCCTGGAGAGAAGCAAACCCGACTTCTCGAGACTACTCTCATTTCTCTAGGGCTCATAACTGGTTTTCCCATATTGATCATATATTCCTCCATACGCGTTCACTTTCTAGATTGATTACAGTTAAAATTCTTTCTACACCTTGGTCCGACCATGACCCGGTTCTTTTAACTCTTTCGTCTTAGACACATGGGAGGACTGCTCCTCATTGGTGCCTTAATGAATCTCTCTTGGGTAACGCTTCTTATTGTGTTGATATCTCCACACATGTGAAATTGTACTTTGAAATGAATAAGGCAGGGGATAAACTTCACGACTTAAAAAGGCTTGAAACAAATTGATTATGA